TAATTATATTCTGTTCTTATTGGATATTTCTTATCCCACTGTCAGTGATGTCCCCTGTACAGCACCTCGTGCCCAGGGATATCATATGTCGATTTGTTATCAGTGGTTTAGTTTAAAGTCATGTATGGAAACAATACTGCTCCTACTAATCATTTATCCATTGTTTGTAAATTTGTATCATTTCCAACAAAGGTTACATGTATACTACAAAGTGGGCAGCTCACCAAAGGGCAAATGAAGTCAAATGTAGTCAAAAACAGCTTAAACAGATCATTAATGGAACAAACAGTCTTTAACAATTTACTTCATGTTAGATACTTTGTGTTTAGTAATGAAATGAACCAAATCTTCGGGACATGTTACATACATTGTATGTTAACTGGTTATCAATAGTACATAGTGATTATTACACAATAATGGAATTTAACACTTAGATTGTCCTTGTTTGAAAAAAATCAATTATATACACACAGACTACCTTAGAAAAGCCTTCAGTCATTTGGTCTATTTTAAAGTTCATCTATAAAACAAGATAATATTTACCATGTATTATTTACTTTTTATCAGTCATCACTTTAATCATTTAAACTATGCAGGTGGTTGATATGTCTTAATAATAATTACACAAAATGTTCAGGTAAAAAATGATGTATCAGATTTTTGAAGTTCTTCAACTTCTTTTTCTCAACGTATTGTCACACATATTATCTGTACTTTGATGGCATACATTGATGTGATCTATGAAGTGTGAAAAATAATTAAAGACTATAGTGTCATTGACACTAGATCTGAGTTTTGATTCAGCCAGTGTTTTTTAAGGTGACAAACAGTATTTATATTTTTCAATGTCATACATGTGAACATAAGTTGGCAGTCAAATTTTAGGTACTCTTGTATGAAATAATACTTCTAATGAAACATGATTCATTTTGAAGTATTTGAAAATATGTGACTTACTGATTTGGTTATCCCAACCCATGCAGCCATGGTGGTTTTGTGGTTAAGGGGTTTGGCCATCTTTATCACTAGCCCTCTTCCTTTGGGTCAGGGGTTCGATGCCTGTGTAAGGCAGTTTGCTAGGTACTGGCCACAGGTCAGTGCTTTTTCTCCAGGAGCACTGGCTTCCCTCCTACATCCAGACCTGGCACGTCCTTAAATGATCTTGGCCGTCAGTAGGATGCAAAGCAACAATAAACCAAATAAACCGACCCTAGGATTTGTTTTATAAAAAGAAAGTAACCAAATGAAACGTTTACTCATCATATGAGACATTTGACATTGATGTTTACATGTAAAACATGTTAATACAAGAGAAAACTATGGACATTTATCAAGTAATTGTTATATATAGGAGGTAGTTCATCTCCCCTATTTGATCTCTAGATAGCATATATTTGATGTATTTACAAAAGATCAGTGAAATGTTCACCAATTCATTTTACAAAAACTTTTACCTGTATCAATTAGCTTACCACACAGGTAAGATAAATTGAGGACACAGTTACAAAAATGGTACCACCGGTAGAATTTATTATACTTGAATACTTGAACTAAAATTTCAGTAGGTTCTTATGTCTGACTGCATGCTCAAGACATGTGCATATGCTGTAGACTTTTAGCTGAGAGTGTTTGCTTTTTCAAGATAACATGTCATTAGGACAATTTTCATCATTTCTACTTAATTTGATTAAATAGTTTTTTTGTGGACAAAACATTGTCCCCAAACTGTATACACACTGGTAATTACTTCAAAAGATAATGAAGATTTATTTCTATAGTGTACATTATTGTGTAATAGGAAAGAGTAATGAAAAATACCCTGCACTCAGCAGGGTTGAACTAGCAACCATTCAGACAAAAGGGAAATTCTCAAGATCTAAAGCTTGTAAGGCATCCTGTACTCCTAATTAACTTGTACAATTGTATTCTCAACAGAATATTTCTGGGCTAACTGATAGATTCCTTGCTGTCAGCTAGATGTCCATTATGCATACGTATCCTCTTCAATCTGTACAGAACACTGTACAATTAATGGCCTGTTGAAATGCAGGTGAATACGAGAAATAATTTTTTGACATTCACCTGAAAACAGGTAAAAAATCGTGTTATTATTAATCCATGTTTCTGATTGGTCAGACAGGTTACTGGATGGCTATATTCACTGTTCTGATATCCAATGGGGTTTTGGATTATTTTGATATTCACCTCAAGTTCATTGATACTGCCTGTTTCAGTTTAACATCACAATGTATTCCGACCTATGATAGAAATTGTGACCAATCCATGTTAAGGAAAAATGACGGTCATTTGATGAATTAAATTGTCTGAAGACATAGATAAGAAAAAATCATCAATTCTGATAGAAATTCATCATTTTTGAAGTGTGCATAAAAACACAGTTTGTTACGTGTTCATGCTCTTAAACTTAACCATGCATGATGAAACAAAATTGGATGGTGGTTGATAATCATGTATAATGGACTTTGAGGACGGAATCCATATTAGTCCTTAGCCTTTGTTGTTGATGTCTCATAATCAGCAAACACTACTGTGAAGGCTGAGGGTGGGCTGACTAATTGATTGAATAGGAAAACATGAGCCTTATGTGGTGTTGCTCATTACATTGCTATTGACCAGTAAAACAGGTCACTAGAGTCTGAACCATTGATTACTATGGGACTTGGTCCCATTATTGACCAGTAATAAAATAATTTCCAGGTATACTGTGCCAGAGTTGAATCTTGAGGGAATGTTTATGGTGCAGGGACCTGGACAGTGCACTCATGATGAGCACATCACCACTAACTCTAGCTCTGATCACGGCTACTGAATATTGACCATATAACATTAGGTACATCGATTCCTATGTTCTGTTTATCAATCATTACTTCAGATAGGACTTACTTACGGTTGTCTAGTTTCTTTACCTGGTGTTTTATTTGGCAGTAACTACAAAAATTATTAAGACACTAATTAATTCAAAGATAATTACTTATAATTTTCTGTTCTGAAAAGTTGTCAATGGATATTGAAATTTTCTCTTTCCATGGGGTTAGTCAGAACATCAGTCCATATCTGGAAATCGAAGTACTACATATGTTATATACTATTACTGGGGAAAAAATGAAACTATGTATACTGGAATATGTTTTTTTCTCGCCAATGATATAAGATTTGATACAAAATGTGACATTGTTTTGTGTATGAATTCATGAATGAATCAGTCTGATTACATAGTTTGTTTTCTCTGTTAGAATACTTGAAGGAGTAATCATGATGTATTTAGGATTTTAGTATCCATGTTTCATGTTTTACTTTGTGGATCAGTTTCGGGAAAACTTAATAGTGCTACATGTGTGCTGAATACAAATTCTGCTTTACAGAACTTGAGCAGTAGGATGTCATTAAGTCCTCAGCATCTCAGCCCTAAAACTCAGCATGTCAGCAAAGTTTTATACTTGAAACCAAACATGTCATCTATTATACATTACAGCTAATTCTTTCTGTTCATTATTGATTAGGAACACACACCCTACTTCCTTTCAGAAACAACAGAGACAATTAACATGTAAATAGAACCACATTCAAACTCAGATTTAACGAAACAAGGACAAAATAGGAACAAAAGACAATTTTGGGGGAAGGACCGTGAAAAAGTACAATGAGAATAAAGCTTAGTGTTCTGAAAGGGTAAGCACCTTCCACTTCATTGACAACACCTACAAATCTTTGTACAATGGCAATGGTAGTCTTGAAATTTGATACCTGGGAAACTGTTAGATGAAATATTTGTTGGAATCAAATAATTGTATCGAGCCTCTAGTCATGGCATGCATTCTTTGTTTTGTGATCAAATATTTTAAACTATATTTAATATATTAAGTTGTCCAACATTGGTTTTCCTACAAAATGATTGCCAAAAGAAATTTATTGATCTATATTAAGAAATTTCTGCACTTTTGTTAGCAACGGTATTCTGACAGATCGGAGATGAACAATTGATTTTTGAGTGTTTATTAAAGTAAACAGCAGCTATGAAAATCTGGCAGCTCTGTTTTTATTATGAAGACATGTTATAAGATTAGATATTGGTTATGTAATGAGAACTATGGGATCTTCACTTTAATGGCTGTTAGTTAAGTCTGAAATTATCAAGGCGTTTATGGTATAATTTATTAATAACAATATCACGCAAATTGTATGCAAATCTAATTTTGAGATTTTATGCTTGATCATTGAAATGTTAAAACAAAGTCTTGATTCCTTAAATATTGATAGACAATTCATATAGAATAATAATCAAAGTACATGTAGTTAGCAGGAGGCAAGCGACTTATAATTGGGAGATGCAATATGAAGGAAAATTTGATGAATCTCTATAAATATTTTGATAATAATGAGATTGCATATGAAAATAAAGATGAAGTTGTTAGGACATTCTCTCTTAAATCATCCTAAAAAATAGAAATTAACTCTGCAAAATGAAATACAGTTAATTAAGATGATATTAAGATACTGATGTCAGTACTTGTATGGCCTTTGGACGTTGAGCACTTAATTAAGGTAAGTTAAGGGTAAGTGATAAAGTGATTTTATGGAGTGTAGTCTTTCAGGTTTGTATCCCAAATATTGAAACACTGGAATTTTGTGTTTGGAAAACAAAAAGATGATCAACACTGACTTGTCAAATGAAGCCTAATGATTATTTAGAATTTTCAGAATTGTGGAAATATATTGATTGGTTGAATGGATTTACTTTAATGTTTATGACATGTGTCATACTTTGATATGTAGAGTAAATATTTTTATGGAGTTCTTGTTCACTTAAAGTTATAAAAATTTGAATTATATCTTGATATAAATCTTTGAAGAATAGACTTTGCGTATGGTACAAAAGCTTTAATTCAAAGTTTAAAAGTTAATTTCTTATTCTGAAACTAGGTGTAATCAGTGAATAGATTTACACTGTGATATAAATTGGATGCTTTTTTATGTTGCAGACTTTCATTGCAATAGCACCAAGATTTGGTAAGAAGTTCATCTACAGGTTCACTTCTACTAAGGCTTTCTACGTCCTTCCACCATGGAACCCAGTACGGAAGCTAGCCGTGTACATAGCCACCAATCAATACTTTGATTACCTAGTCATCACCACCATTCTTTTGAACTGTATCTTTCTAGCCATGCATAAGTCACCCGCTGCTGAAACTGCAGAGTAAGTTTATTTCTCTAAACTTACTTAATTTAGTAGCTTTGATGCTTCAAATCCTGCTCAAAAACATAATGCCCTATCTTCCATTAATGTATTTGTGTGATATTGTGTGTACAATTCATTAGAGTATGTCTTTCAAATTGAGATTACTCTTAATTCAAAGTGCACTGAAGTAGAACTATGAAGGTATGTCAATTCAAAATGATACTTTTTTATTGCTTATTTTATCAATCAGTATTTTCAGTATTTGTTTTAAAACATCACAAGAGTTATATTGTGTGTCCAGATACCTATTTTCATATTCCAAAAGACTCATTACACATTAACGAGAAATTGAATGAGTTGACCAGTCACATGGTCAACCGACCATGTCTAATATGTAAAATAGAAACTAGATAAAAATGTTTGCTCATTATCAGTTCAGAGTATTACAGTAAACAAAAACATGTTCAGATGCTGTCAGTGTTAAAATTATTACTCTGTGGACATTTTAATGTGTCTGTTTTGATGGCTTGTGGGTAAGTTTTTATGATTGTACTACTGACAAGACTTTGATTTGAAGTTAAAGAAACAAGTATTGCTATCATGAATAGATTATGAATTATTGAAATAATCTATTGTCTCTTCCAGATACGTTTTCCTAGGCATCTACACCATTGAGATGATTGTGAAAAACTTAGCTAGAGGTTTCATCTTGTATCGTTTCACATATCTACGAGATCCTTGGAACTGGCTAGATTTTATTGTCATAGTTTCTGCGTAAGTATGATTTATGAAGTACGCATAGTATTTGATAACACTACACAAGAATGACAACATGCAGTTAAATTAATGAAACAAAGTCATCAAAGAATGAATAAAAGAAAGATTTCAACCAAGAAACCTAAAAAAAGTATGTGAAGCAATTCTTAATATGTTCCAATATTCCAGTCAGGTTAGCGTCTTTTTATCAATAGTAAATGCCATAAACAAAACAAATTTGAGCATACAATCATGATTTTGTCAGTTTACAGTCATGATTTTGTCAACATACAATCATGATTTTGTCAGTTTACAATCATGATTTTGTCAGTTTACAATCATGATTTTGTCATAATACAATCATTATTTGTCAATATACAATCACGTTTTTGTCAATGTGCAATTATGATTATGGTAATATGCAATCATGATTTTGTCAAAATACAATCATGATTTTTTCAACATACCATTGTGATTTTGTCAAGATGCAATGGATCCATTTGAAAGACATAGGAAAAAATGTTCAGTGTTAAGTATAAACAGTTTTGCTACATTTGTATTATGTTAAGATTTTGTTTGGATTATTGGTGCTTTTTTGCACCTGTGGTAAATGCAGATCACTGTACAATAACTACCTGTACACAATGAAGTCTGTATGTACATACATGTATAAATCATAGTCTTTATTGATCTAGCTGTTTAGTCTGTGGAAAATATTGATGCTCGTTTTGATGGCTCACCTAGACATTAAGTGATGAAAATCGAAAGTTATGGCAGAATCTGCATGAATAATTACTGATGGCTATTGACACTTCAGCACAGACATTCTTTCTCATACTATTATTACATGTTTCTGACAAAAGCTGGCTCCAGTGAAGCAGTGGAACATGGATACATTGTGACCATGAATAATTTTCTATTGCTCCGATTAGGACCTTGAGTGTATTAAGTTAAGCTGAATCACTGTAACTGTATGTTTAAGTCAACACATCTAAAATCCCATCAGGCCACAGTAATGCTGTAAATGTATCTTTATATCCATGAAATATTTCTCTCCAACATCAATGGATCCTGTGTTGTTCTCCAATCTCACATTAGCTATCATTCGTTCCTATAATTGGTATATTTATTTTGGCATGGAGGAGAGAATATTTGCATGGTCACATGATCAGCCACTTTAAATTAAATATTTCACATACGTTTTGCTAATGAGAATAAGAATTTCTTTTTAGATCTGAGTACACTTTTTCAAAAATTCAAGATTTGTTGAGTTTGCTTTTTATCAAGGTTGAACATTGTAATCTACTGTACAACTTTTATGGAAAGTACACATAAAGATGACTTTGAAAATTAATAGGTCAAAGTTCAAATGATCTGTTTCCCATAGAAGAAATTGCGGTTTCAAGACAAATTCTGTCTTACATTTGAGTCCATAATGTCCATGCACTATATGGCAAACATTTCCATTAAACATGTATAGTGTATTTTATGTATGGTAAGTTTAATTTCATTTTCCCAAGATTAAGCATTTCAATGCTGGACACAGGTGTTTCTCATCCAATACCTAGCTCAGACTTGAGGAAGACAGTGGGATGGGCAAGGGTGGTAATGTTGGGTTGTCCTCTTTTTATTACTCAGAGTAGAGGTAAAAACTGGTGCTTGTGTAGCTTGATATCAAACTGAAGAAATGTACATGTACAATTCCTCTCCATTAAGTGTAATAGCAATTAAAGAGCTTGTAATGAGAGCTAAAAGCCATAAATGAATTAACAATGAGTTTACATACTCATTGAAATTCCTTTGTGTTGGTAAATATATGGTAAATTCATGTCAACAAGATCCCCTTCCTGTTTACATTGACTAAAACACAAAAACAAAAAGCACATTGAAACATACACCAAGTGCTATATTTATGTGTGTGTGTGTGTTATGCTCTAAACCTACTATAGTTTATAATGTATTGAAAAGTTGCCAAGTAATTTTGATTAAATGGTTAACCAAGCTATTTTCCATGCACATGCATTTAGACCTGTTTTCTTGTACAATGTATATTTATGAATAACTCAACTTCAAAAGTAGTGATAAATTTAAAGGATGAAAAAAAAAAAGAAAATAAATGAAAAATTCATGAATGTGGTATCTATTCAGTTTGCTGTATGGTATTTCTGTCGTGATCCATATATATACTTGGAATACATTATGGCGTGTAACAATTTTGAAATTTGTATTGTAAATTCATGTTATGTTAAACGTTTAAGATTGAAAATCAGGATAGATCAGTAAATGTTTTTCATGCGAGAATGGCAGTGATTGTAATATTTCAAAAATGGTGTGAGAAATCAATGTTTTAAAGGATGGGGCTGCTAGAGAATTTTCCCTCAATGACATTATATTACAGATGAACAAGTGTTTTTAGAAATTTGAATTATACTGTATAATCTGAGAAAGATGAATCAGTGAGATCTGGGTTAATATTTTCACCATTGCTGACCTGATGTCTTTTCCTTCAGATACATTACAATAATGATACAAGCTGCATCGCCGGGAGGAGGTACAGCAAATCTCCAGGGTCTGCGTACATTCCGAGTCTTTAGGGCTCTAAAAACAGTTTCCATAGTTCCAGGTTGGTATAACCCCAAATTATCTTATTAAAGACTATCTTTATGCTGTTTTTAGCAGAACAATATTGTTAACTTTGGTAAATGTAACTTATCTTTGCTCTCTGTAAAAATTTTTAAAAAATTTAAATTTTATTGTCATTCTTTAAATAAATGCCTATTAAGCACTCTGAAAATTTAGTGTGCTCAAACTATTTTTGTTTCCAATATCTCAACATTAGAAGAATTTGTTGGGATAAAAACTGAAAGGATATTCATGAATATTTATATTAGCCATGCAAAAATGTTTTGGTGTACTTTTCCACCCAGCAGACACATCACCCTTTCATCATGGTTCAAGCCTTTGATAATTAAATTTGCTGTATGTTTTAAGACTGCATATGTTTCGAGACTGTTGTATGTATGTACATTGATGTTTGATATACAGCATTTCCAAATTCTTTTCAGTGTGGTCTCCTTTGATTAAAAATTTTCATAACCATGTATTTCATTTTAAAGTCATTTCAACAATTTTAAAGAGTTAGAATTTCGACATTAGCCTTATAGCTAGCTGTTTTCAATAGACTTGATCTCAAATATGAATTTGGACAATTTTCAGGGTTAAAAACTATTGTGAATGCACTGCTGAGAGCTTTCAAGTTACTTCTAGAAGTGATAATGTTGACAACGTTTTGTCTGATGGTGTTCGCTCTATTTGGACTACAAATCTACAAGGGAGTTCTGCGACAGAAGTGTGTGATCAGTTTGCCAGAGTTTGTAGCAACCAGTTCCATGAGTATAGAGGCACAATATGATGCTTGGGTCAAAAACACCTGTAAGTAAGGCTTAATAACTATGATACTCTACTTTCTTATTTCAATCATTTTCAGAATGATGAAAGAATCAAAATAGTTGACAGCAGGCTATCTTGGAATTTGCCATGAACCTTTCTTAGATCCCCGAGTCTAGATTCTAAATGATGTGCATGTATAATTTAAGAGTGAATGGTAGAGAAAATGTGACCATACACAAGCAGTTATTTTTATTCCCCAGCTGTTTTTTAAGGAGACATACAGTGTTACTCATATCTATCCGATGGCACCACCACCTGTGGTACACTTCGTACCAAACTTTAGTATAAAAGAAACTTACATTGACAGTGCTTTGAATCCTTACTCATTTTAATGTTGTTTTATGTCTTTCAGCAAACTGGTATGAATCAGATGGTGACTACGTCATATGTGGTAATGCCTCTGGCTCAGGGTAAGTAAAACAATCTGTGTTAACTCACTGAAGCAACGCAATGTTCAGGCACTGCTAATTTTCCGTATCAAGGCTTAGTTTTGAATGTAAATTTGCTGAAGTTTAAACTGGAACTACTTTTCTCGAAAGTTTTAAACTCAATAGTTTATACTTCATGCCTGTAGCTCATACATCATTCTACATTCTACACTTGTTTTTTCTATGCTGACCTTCTTGATCACTTTGTTGTAAATGTTCCAATTTTCAAGAAGCCTATTCATTTTTTCAGCGCATTTGATAAAATGTTATACTAGTCATTAGCCTTTCAATCAATATAATTACCTGGTACCTCATTTTTGTACTACGCATTCAAGGTCATACTCCCATAACCTTGCATAACTGCTCTGTACCTACAAAGGACAGAGATGAGAACATTATAAAGAGATTTGACTAGCTCTTTTATAAGAATACTTGTGGCAGGTCAAGAGGCTCCTTAATATCCAATATAGGCAAATATTGATTTGCTTCATGCAAAGGTGAATGAAATTTTCATGTTAAGGGCAAATGTGGTGCACATATTCAAAGGATTTTACAAAAAGCTATGGCAAATAAGAACACTTTGCTTACATTAAACAAAAAGGAGTTAGAAATCTGTAGATGTATTACGTTTTAATTTATTTGTTCTATCTTGTTGTATGAAATTCTTTACTGATACAATGATACCACAGACAGTGACAGGTAACAAAGGTTATAGAAGAGTCAGTATCTACTTACTTTATAGTTAGACTGCCATGCTTTGGCTATGTTTCTTCAAAAAAGCTATATGTAAGAATATTATGATTCTTTTATAGCAAATGTCCAGACAACTATACCTGTTTGACAGACATTGGTGAAAACCCTAACTTCGGCTACACCAACTTTGATCACTTCGGCTGGGCCATGCTGTCGTCTTTCCAGCTCATTACACTCGACTTCTGGGAGGATTGTTACAACAAGGTAAATAATATCTCCTACGGAAAAAAGAATATCTTCACCAATAATTAATTATATGTAGTAAAAAAATCAGGTTACCAAATTTTTTTATATAGATATTAAAACCAAATCTAGTGTGATCTATTATCCTGGAATCCCATACAAATTAATCTACTATGCCTCTTATATCTGTTTGTTTTTATGCCAATTTCATCCTGAACTCTAAATGACTTTGATTTCTGTATATACAGGTTATACGAGCAGCCGGACCATTCAATGTGGCATTCTTTATCGTAGTCGTGTTCTTTGGTTCCTTCTACCTCATCAACCTCATGTTGGCGGTAGTGGCCATGGCTTATGAAGAAGAAGCTGTTACTACTGAAGCGGTATTGTATTGTTCTCACAAATCTCTTGCAACTCTTTAGCATCGGTTTCACAGTGTTTTAAAATGGTTGATGACTTTTTATGAAAATCACTTATTTAAATGGCTGCTTTTTTGCACTTTTAATCAACTCCATCTATTTCATAAATTTCATGTAAAAATGTAGTTTGTTGATGTGTCATTTTATAAGTGCTCTCTGATCATTAACAAGAGGGGTCTTTAGGCTTACACTTAATAACATGTGTTGCTTTCCTATAGGATGCACATTTTATGAGCACCTAGACATGGAGTGTTGGTGTACCCCACTGTACAAAAATTTACCGTCTTTTTGCTTTATAATGATGTTTACCTGGAGGTTATGGAAATATGAATTATTTGCAATTTTCTGGAAACATCATAAGCAAAATATTCAAATAACTACTTAGTAAATTACTTTTAAAATCTACTCTATTTAGAAATTTTCTACAGAGTTAACGCGAATGTTAGAAGTACAGCAAGAAAGAAAAAATAGTTTTGATGAAAGTCACACTCATCATATTTATGAAATTTACTCCAGCCATAACAACATTATAAAATCTGTTACAACTTGGAAATTGACTTATGGCCCTGAATAGGAAATTGCTTTCTGAGTGTCAGGATTAAATGTAGCTGATGATTATTTCAGAGAGTATGGGGTAAACGTAGGACGGTGAGTAGAGTCCTGCTGTTGTGACTCGCTCTCTCTATCTCTCTCTCTATACCAAAGGTATTCATTTTAATATAGCAGAAGTGTCTTACTATATTCCATACAAAGCATATTTACAAAATTATCAACCTTAAAAGATGAAGTTAAATTTTTTAGCATTCTCAGGTCTAAAATTTAAAACTATTCTCTTTTTACTGCGTTTTATGCATCACAGTTGTAAAACAACTCTCAAATGTTATCACAGATAATAAAGAAATTTGGGAATAATTTTTGCCGAAAGTTTTCATTTGGTTTGTAAATACCTGTTATGCATGCATTTCTACATGTTTATTTTGGGGTTGTATTGAAATGAAATATCCTCTGAAATATGGAAATTATGCATGGAACAATCACACAATAATAGTGATTGGTGATTGCTTTATGTTAAATCTTGGGCTAAAACTGACAAAGCATTATGAACCTAATTTTACGCTGCACTAAATATTTCAATATCTAAGAAATATTCATTTGTCAGGCATCACATTGATTTTGATGACTATGAGAATAAAAAGTCTTGAAAGTTGTTTCTTAAGATTAATAGCATCCTTTAGTGAAGCAGAATTACTCGTTTGAAAATTATTTGAAATTTTCTGACATTCCTGCTATTAAAATGAGCGCCATTCTCTGATAAATTGAATTGGCCTTCCTTAAGTATCCCTTTACTTATGAGTAACAGAGAGCTGGAAAAGACGTGATTGTATCGCTGTTTTCAAATCTTTATGAATGTAATGTTTGAAAAAATGTGCAAATTACTTTCTTTAAGTAGAAAAATATGGAAGCTAGTCCTACTCAGTTTAATACATGTAAACCTCTACATTTTATGATTTAATAACCAACCATATCATTGGTGACATATTATATACACACTGCTCAGTATGAGGACAGTGATTACAGTTCAATTACCTCTAGTTCTCTCTGTAAGGAATGTGTGTATTTGTGACATACTTTCTTTTTCTTACAATAATTGCATAGTTAAACTAGGTTTGTGTCTGTTGTAGTAGGGAACACATAACAATAGCATAGTGGTAAAGTTAAAAGTAGTGCTCGATAGCAAAGATTAGGTGTTATTGATTCTATTTGTTATCTTGTCATATTGAGTTTTACCCCCTTTTCATCAAACAAAAATGTTGTTTTTTTATATATATATATTTTCCCCAGGAATGAATAAATCAATTTTTTTTTTCAAAGAAATTATGACATCTTAAATACTATCTTTGTATCAAACTTGTTGGCATGCCTAGCGTAGAATTTTCAACCTTTGAATTATTTATCACTTGTAGATATTATCATTTTAGTTTCTGGAGTATCATTTGTTTCATCTTGGTTGTAATTATGTAGGTGTATTATTTGAATATACATTTAGATTAAAATCTAATAAATTTGTCTTAATCTACAAATATTTTCTTAATATTTTCAGGAAGAACAAAGTTATAATATAAGAAATAAAATCATGGACCAACAAATAATACTGTATGCATACTTACTTTGGTGTTCCCAAAGTTTCAGTACATCATTAAGTGAATGTGTGTAATATTGATCCATTTGTGTCTCAACAATATACATGTAACAGAAAGCAATTTACAAAAACTGAAATTTACTTTGTTATGATAATGTTTTAAAGACCTTGATTAAATTATAGAAGTAAAATATGTACAGTTAGAGTATTTCGTCTTTACCTGATGAAAATATCACAGTAGGTTATGATTCCTAGATCTTTAAGAATTTTATTTGTTGTATTCGAAAGTAGATGAGTGAAAAAATTAGACTCTGGGGATGACAGATTTTGGAATTTTCAAATTTATTAAATATATCATTTAGTTTGTGCTTCTTATAAAATTCGTAAGTCACATTAAAAATTTGTGACTGATTACAATTTCCTTTTGATATTGTATTGTGTATCCCAAAACGTTCTATGCCAAATTTTTTTGTTTATTTTGAACCGGAATACATGATGTTAAGACAAGCCAAAATTCTTAACTATATTTTCAAGTCTCCCAGGAGTCTGTAGAACTATCTCAGAAATCCCTTTTACACCTTAAAAATCATAAAATGAAAAGCTCTACAGAGATGGAAATGTTCACAAACAAAATAACCAGGACCCTAGCTAAGAATGGTCTCATTCTGTCAGGAAATGTTGTGGTATTTCTGAGCTAATTGACCAGACAACAGCTTTACCACTGTTGATGTCAGGACCTTGATGCCTAAGTGTTATCTTTTTCCAGTCCTGATTTGAAATTGATTTTGCTCATGATTCTTCCCAATCTTGCTTGTCCTCTGAAAGTCTTCTTTATTTTTACCCATCATCCAACTTTAGTGAAGTAGATTCAATATCCTTTCTTTTTCACTGATAGTACTGATATCTGTATATAAAATAATATTACTCTGTTAACTGTGTGAATTATTAAAACAATAGCAGAATGTTGTTTTTGTATATTTATAAGTAGGTGATGAAATATGAAATGCCCCTCTTGATTATAACAGTTTTGTATGTAAATATTATTTAGATTTGTTTCACTACTCTTGTCATACTTATTGATATTTTTGTCCTTGCAATCATCTGATAAGTTTGTATTTGAAATTGCAGGAAAGTGAGGAACAAGAAAAACAGATAAAAGAAAAGGACCCATTGAAAGAACTTGCAAATGCGACAAAAGCAGCAGCTAAATGGAAACCAGGGGGGAAAGAAAAATCGGACCTTGGGGAAAAGGTTGAAAAACCTCCAGACACTGTACAGTCCAATGGAAAACTGCCAGAGGGAGATGCAGAATCTGAGAAGATTGCTGCAGTCAACGGCCAAACCCTGGTAAAATATGGCAAAGGGAGAAAACCTATGGTGAAAATGCCAAGCAAGGACAGCGGATATTCTGTACAGAGTTCACAATCTGGAGGGAGTAAGGAGAAAGATGGGGACACAACCAGCTGGGACAGTATTGCCAATAAAACTGCTGATTCAGGTACAGGTTCTATCAGTCATGGTCTTCTTGGCGATCTACCAGAACTTCCCTCCAACGCAAAAAGACAGAATTTGGTCAAACAGCAAAGCACTGATAATGTAAGTTTGTGCACTAAATTTAAAAATATGTAAAAGCAAGACATCTATATCTGCTTGTCAAAAGCATATACATATACTCAACACTTGTAGTAGTTCTCGTGTGGAGAGGAGAGATATCTCTTACCTCACCACTGAGATGGATTCACCGCTTTCTTCCTAAATCTGCCTGCGAACTCTGTACAGGATATCGTCTGAGGCTGCCTTCTAACCTAACCCAACACCTACCGTTGGCCTCTCCTGACACTTGGTACCACAAGCTTTCTCTTGATTGCATGGAAGTGTTTATTTCCTTATTGAAAGTTTCTCTCATTTAATTGATGAAAAACAGTTCAAAGCAACAAACATGAAAAATATTTGATATTGCTAGTCTAAATTTCTAACCAAATTTACAAAATGTATCAAAAAAAATTTTTCCTGCAAATAGATTTGTCTGAACAACGTGAATGAAATCTTTTTTATAAAGCTGAGAAAGAAAAATTAAAAGAGAGAAACATTTTCTTTTTTTCCTTTTTGATGTTTTAAAAGAGATGAAAGAGAAAAAATATATTAATTGTATGGTCATAAGATAACACAAACTTTTATATCAGATTTGAGTTGCAGGTAAATGGTTAGAATCTAAACAAAGCGTTGATGTTAATCTGAGTTTGTGACCTAACAATATTGTACCAATGATAAGCCTATTCTCCTTAATTACTGAAACCCCAACCATTAGTTATCTGATTTCCGAGACAAATGTTTCATTTGGGAAAACAATTTCATTGAATCTCCATTATATCTAATTCAACAGCAAACATAGGCTTTTCACTGGTGTGTAGTATTTTGATGAATAAAATGAAAATATTAAGTTTGGCATAGAGTAAACCTATGCTGATCATTCTGTTTATCATTTTATTCTGTTTGTGTGTGCGTGTGTGTAGTGGCATGTGTGTGTGTGTGAAATATGCATGGTGATCACAAAATACAAAAGGCAGCATTCAGTTGATTCAAAGTCAACTTTTTTTAAAAGCATTGATTCAAAGAAAATTGATATGTATATCAATTCACAGAGACATTGAAAACAAAAAAATCCTTTTCAAGCAGGTGTATTGTGACGTATCATTTCAATTGTCATTCTAACAAAAATTTTAGTTGACAATCTCTGTTAGTTTTGAACAAATAGGAGAAATTCTTCATACTTTTCATAATTGAATGAAATATTTTTCATCTGATTACTTTTGTTCTAAATTTTCATTTACCAAAAATGAAAAAGCCCAAATTGGAATGCCTAATAAGTTTATCCTAAACCATAAAAAGCTCTTGACATATAAAGTCAGTTGCAGACTCATAAATGCTGTCTGTTGTTGAAATGCATTTAGTTTTTTTCTAATACATATTGAACTAGAGTTAATCAATTTCAAACAAGGGTGCACAGGTTATTAGTAGATGTTTATAGTTATTAGTAGAAAGAATTGGTCAAGGGAGATAAGTCTTTTTAACATAATGGTGAATAATGTGCCATAGAAATAATTCTGAGTTAAGGGAGGTAAGTATGATTTTTAAATAAGAATTTTTCAGGGTGATATACCTGTTACACAAATCAAGGTATAATTTGATATAGTACCATATAGCCTTATAACATGGTTATATATTACAGGGTTATGTGTCAGTCAAACGTCATTACAAAGTAAGTAAATTGTGCATGATCAGGTAACCACGCACCATCCACTCCTTAAATCTACCAGATGTTGACCAAGCACCTGTTAATGTCTCAGTTGTTTAAGATAAAGATTTAAAAAACCCAGATATTTTTTTATATAACCTTATCATAATTCATGTTAAACGTTCTGTCTAAATTCAAGAAAAATTAAGTGGAAATAAAAATATTTTATTTCTTAAACAGATACAAGAAACTTAAAGGAAAGTTAAATAACTGAAGACAATTATGTATGGTGTCTGCACCTCCAATTATGTAATTCTGTATTGCTTTTAATAAAAATCTACAAATACCTTTTGCTGCATATTCACAAAAACAGCCCTGATATCACCAATGTTGTAGTTGTCAAATTGTTCAGCCTGATATCACCTGTGTTGTGATTGTCAAACTACAGTCATTCTATTGCTGTGATTGTTAAACTAAAAAATATATTTAGCATCGATATCACTCATGTTCTGATTGTCAACTTATCTGTCAAAATCAAAAGCATCACTTATAGAGGTACCATTTGTCACAAACTAATATACTGATACCAATGGGAAAGACATGGTAAGATGTAAAAATAACTGCAATTATAGGACTATAAATTATATCTGATGCATTGTGATTCTGTTAGAGGTGAGTTATCTGTCTTGTCCATTATTACCTTTGTATTAGAATTAATTCGTATTAGATGACGGGAGATTATGTTAATTCCCCATTGGAATTTTCTTCAAATTCAAAAATGTGCAACTCGAATCTTTATGACTGTAAAATCAAGATATCAAATAGAAATCAAAAAGGAATTCCAGCTGGTTAGGACCACTAGCATTTAGCTTAGGATTGTTGCTATTGTATTGGACTGAAGTATTATATGGGAGTATTATATAAACCTCCAATCTTACATAATGCTAATCCGATAGTTATTACGGTAGTTAACTGTAAAGAATATCCTGTGATGTCACTAGGAGACTGGTAGTGCTCTGACAGTCATGTATCTCAAGAATGACCACATAATTGCAGCAATATCATGGCTGAATTCTAGACCTTTTTATAGGCAATGAAAATTATATTGCAGCATAGCGTATGATATCCATTTGTCAAATTTTCGTATGAGAAACTAAATGGAGTAGGGATGGATAAAACTTAACAAATTTGGTATTTGACAGTCCTGGTCTTCATATAAACGTAAATAAATGGGAAATAAACAATTACAAAAACATTTTAAATCCTGGCTTGCACCATTTCAGATTTTAAACTAAATCAATTTGAAGCTTTCCCTATTTTAATGTGGTATACTGATGGAATGCCTTATAAACCTATCTGACAGAACTGGAATGGGGCAGAATAAAGAAAATGAAACGATTTTCCTCTAAGTTGGTATACTGTGTATGTTGGCATTACACATATACCATCCTCAGATGACAGAGCTAATGGGTGCAAAATAGAGTATAATTACAGCAAAAAAATAAAACAGATTTTGATAACTGTAATAATGTTAATTCCCTTTCAATGTATAGGTGAAAAGCAGCCAGGGGCATGTTTGTTAGATAGATGTACAATTCCATTAGAAATGTTTGAAACAATTTAGCATTTTGCATCCACACTTCAGCCCCGCCCTGTTTTTTATTTATAGATATATATATATTAGTATATATACACAATATTTTTGTTATCTTTTAATTTTATAGAAATATTTGCTTATGCCTTATATATTGCAATATTGCTTTTGGAAAAGTGAGTACAGTAATAGCCTTTGAGCCTGGTGCTTTAAACAGATACCACAATCTGTATTTCATTGCATTTTCACTTGTTTGCATTACAGTATTTGATAAAAATAATTATGAGATTTATTTATTTTTTTTAAATGTCCAGCTTTGTAAGATGATGTGTTTCAGAATTAAGATGTTCATTATTTCTGACATCTTAAGTGCACAGTCATATATACAGATGAGTAATAGGTTCCAGTTTTGTCGCTGTAACATACTTAGGGTCATTAACAAAACTGGTTGAATTGAATTTTTATGTTTTAATGTTGTGACATAAAATTCAGGTCGGACATTTTGGTGTTCCAGTCTAATCCCAATTATTTTATGCTCTTCAATTTCAAATTTTTTGAAAAAAAGACATGTCAAACTTTCTCCATTGATGTTGAAAATGAGAAACGAAATAAAATTGAGCTGATACATTCCATAGTTTATTATTGTAAGTAAAGTGACAAGAGATGTTACATCAAGCGATCAATGAAATCATCTGTTGCTGTTACAGCAATGAGATTTTTTATGGATACTATTTATAGGTTTCCTTAACGTTGGAAACTCTTGACAGTATCATCTGATGTTAATTTCCCTTTGTTATGCTATTAGTACAAGGAGAGTCTTCTCTAACCTTTCATTTGTGTAATTTGGGTAATATTATCACAATTTATATAACTTTCATTTTTGTTTTGCTTATCAATAATATTTTTTTAAAAATTGATCTGCAGATGAAAATTTGATCTTTTTCATGTACATATGAAAATAAAAAACTTATGTTCAGTGTATCAAACAGACTGTCTCAACAGTCATTGTCAGTATTATAATGACTCTACATATTGCAGTGAAATTATATAACTAGATTTATTCATTTATGTAGATATCTTCCTCCGCAATCCACCTGGAAAAAGCTGGCAATGAGGAATATCCAGTAAAGAAGAAGAAAGTTGGACCAGAAATTATCCTGGGTATGTCCTATCATAATTGATTTAGCGTTTAAAATAAAACATTGAACTGTAATTAATGTTATATATTCCATGTCATCACACATGTCATTATACATCCATCTGAAATGAAAGTGTCTGACATATCAGTAAACATATTACTTGTCACTTCACTTCTTGAAATGTATGACATATTGATAAACACCTGTCACAAATGAAAATGTAATATGTCAGAAAACACCTGCCACTACTAGAAATGTATGACATATTGGTAAACACCTGTCACCAGTGGAAATTTGATATGTCAGTAAACACCTGTCACCAATGGAAATGTAAGATGTCAGTAAACACATGTCACTTCTAGAAATGTATAACATAGTAGTAAACACCTGTCACCAGTGGAAATTTAATATGTCAGTAAATACCTGTCACTACTAGAAATATATTACCTGTCAGTAAACAAATTGTCACCAGTAGAAAGGTATGACTCATCAGAAAACACCTGTCACTGTTAGAAATATATTATATGACATATGAATGAACTACTGTCACTACACACATGTCACCACTAGAAATGTGTGACATGTGTCAATGAGAAAATATCTGTCATCATTAGAAACATATGACATGTCAGTAAACACCTGTCACCAGTAGAAAGGTTTGACTCAACAGAATACACCTATCAGTGTTTTAATGTAGTCTTTATTCTAAGTTCAGATTTGGGGAATGAAGGAGTGAGAGGGAAGATAATAACTACACATGTATCTCTCCTTAATTAAATTTGTGCAATTTGAATATCTCCTCATAGAAGAAAAAATCAAACAACATTTGATGATACAAACTGGAATCCAGCTGAATAAACTTTTGATATTTTTTCATACTGGTTTTACAATCCTGTTTTAATTAGGAAATATGTTAGTTCTATGAAAACTGCCTTCTTATGAAGAATTGTTGTATTGTAGCTTACGGTGATGGTTATAAACCTGAGCGTCAGAAAGGTCAGCTGATAGACAGGAACTGTCCCTGTTGTACAGGAACAAGCATCTACACCTATTGGCTTTATGTACAGAATGGTGTTATGGTGATTGCATCAGACCCCTTACTTGACCTGTTCATTACGATCTGTATTGTTCTCAATACTGTCTTCATGGCAATAGAACACCATGGCATGTCAGACGAGCTGAAGGAGGTGTTGCGTATAGCTAATTATGTAAGTTCACACACTAATACTCTAAAACTATACTTAGCTTATCTGATGGGTATTTTAAATTATGAAAAATTCTACAATAAAGAACTTTTCATATGAAATTATAAAAATCTGTCGCAACTTTGCTTTTGGCTATCAAAATTTTATACTTCTGAAAAGAAAAATATTATGAATAAAGGAAAAAAAACAATAACAAAGATTGTGATTTGTTGTCGACCACGAAGTGGAAATGATAGAGTAGAAAATTTCATTATTTTATTACTAGATGGTATATCATTAAATACTAAAATTACTCTTTTATGAAATATTTCAGATCTTTACCACCATCTTTACCTTTGAATGTGTGGTTAAGCTGACAGCTCTGAGCAAATTTTACTTCAGCAATGGTTGGAATACATTTGACTTTATCATAGTAATAGCCAGTCTTGTAGATCTTGGCCTGGAAGATGTTGATGGTCTCAGTGTTTTCCGATCATTCAGATTGGTAAGTCATTACGATGTCTCTTTTCCTGTTTCAATGTTCAGAGGTATTCTGTATTGTTTATACCCTGATGTATGATCAGAAGGAGTTTTACCCGTGTGTATCATTCACATCCCATTCAAAATCAGTGACATATCTTGAGAACCTCTCAATAGATCTGGTTTATAGTAACCCAAGTTCTTCCACCTTGTCATATTGTGTTGGTCCAAGGTTCACATTTTACAACTCCTCCAAATTCATCTGTCAATGATATTTAAAAGCATGGGAACAGGGGCATGTTTTATTTGGGGGCAGGGTCGGTTATCACTTTTAGCAGACTTTAGCAAGGATATCTAGATACTCAAGCTAGTAAATATTAAAACAACATTACTAGAGAGGCTTTATCTGAATTTTTGGATCTTTATCTCTGAGTTTATTTTACACATTTCAGAAAAAACTTTTCAAAGAATTTTTTTTTAATTACAGCTCAGAGTGTTCAAGCTAGCACAGTCTTGGCCAACCTTGAAACTGCTCCTGACCATCATCTTGAGTACTTTAGGAGCGCTGGGCTATTTAACTATAGTCCTGGTAATTGTCATCTATATCTTTGCTGTGATTGGTCTGCAGCTGTTTTCTGATTCCTACACAGAATCTGTTTTTGGAGAAGAAATACCCAGGTAAGAATGTAATATGAAAATTTTGATGAGGTCTTTTATTTATAAAATTTATATTGATGTAGTTTAATCTTTATACATTTTTATTTCATCACAGATAGCTGATATTAAAATATTTACACAATTAAATAAGTTTTTTAATGTATAATTATTTCATTTTTTTAAAGGTGGAATTTCAGTGATTTCTTCCATGCTATGTTGATGGTGTTTCGTGTGCTGTGTGGAGAATGGATTGAGCCCCTATGGGATTGCATGCGGGCAGCAGATGAACTCTGCATGGTTGTCTTCCTTCCAACTCTTGTGCTTGGCAACTTCATTGTACGTATAAATATAAGTTGACACATATTTGAAGGATGAGTAGCATCATTTTGGTTGAATGTTCACTGAAACCAAGTCCTGTCTATAGCATAGAATTTCACTGTTGTGCCCTAACAATATACCTGGTAGGCATTTGATTTACCTTTGTTTTTAATCTGAAAATAATTGGAAAATAAATCCTTTTGTCTCGATATCTTTTTAGGTGTTGAATCTCTTTCTTGCCCTTTTGCTGAATGCATTTGCAAGTGACACTCTGGATCAAGAACCAAATGATGAGGACAATCGACTCAAGTTGGCCATTGCAAAGATACGAAAAATGTGTTGCTGTTGCTTGAAACCAAAGAGGTCAGCATCTGTAGGACCAAATGATAAGGAGGATGGGGAGGCCAGTACCACTACAGACAAAGATAGCAAGGGTAATAATACACAGAATCATGTCTTTCACTCATATCAGATATATATACAGGTTCTTGTTATTTACTCGTATTACATATTTGTGTAAAGGAGTGATTAATTCAGATATTCAACACCATTACCTTGTAAAAAGTGTCTTAATGAAAAATAATTTGAACAAACAAAGACATGATTAATTAGTTATTCTAAAGCAGACTTTTCTTCAGGTTATCTACAAAAGTGAAAGTGAAATTTATACATTAAGGTAATGATTACAGTGCTTCACATAATAGTGAATCTGTTTTACTAAATTTGTTAAATTGTGTACTTAATTCGGTATGAGGATGTCCCTTATCAATTACAGTTATTGAATGAATATAAAAGATGTTGTAATTGTTATATTTTCACAGAAAATGAAGTTAAGAACAAAGGGAAAGCTGAAGACAAGATAGCACTGACTAATGGCAGAGCAAGTACTGCAAAGAGTAAAGCAGAGCCTGGCAAAACCACCTCAGATCCCAAGGCCAAACCTCAGGCTAATGGAACAGTAACTAGTAAGGAAGAGAAAAACAAGGTAAGATTCCTTGGAAGCTGTACAAAATGGGCATCATGACATTGGTACAATTGAGTGTGTTTGTGTGGGGTTTTGTTATGTTTTTTTTCACTTTAAATTTTTTCAATCATCAAACTTGAATGATTCAATAACATATTTTCATACAGTTCCATTCTTGTGAATAAAAAAAATGAAAAAATGAAGAAAGAAAAGCATGATTTTGTTTATGAGAAAATGGATTCAATGTGAGATATCTGTTCTTTATTAAGGGCAAAAAGCGTAGAAAATCTCACAAAGCTGCAGGTTCTTTAAGTCAAAATACACCACTAAAGGTTTTACCAGAGATTGTACCGGTACAGGTAATTACTGAACACAGTTAACCTTCAAATTATCTGTTAGAGCACCATTATGTGTTGTGGCTTTCAATCAAATTGTCAACCACCAGTTTAATCAGAATCAGATTTTAAAATTTTACTTTAAACTTAGTCCAAACGAGATTGATTTCTTCAACGTAAGAGGGGTCAGATTTGATGAGCTTCAATCGAATCAGAAAATTTTGAAAATGTTCTCATGGGCTTCTCCAAGTTAATAACTTCAGTGTCAAAGGGATAGCAGGTTATTTCCCTTTTCAATGAATACTCCAAATCATTCAAAGGAAAGTAATCTATTTTCCATTCCTGGTAACTGCTGAGGTCCTTAAAAATCTGATTTTGATTAGAATGTCAATGTTATTTTTGTCTTTCAATTATGTTGTACCTTCTGATGAACAGTCACTGAAGATGTATATAATATTGTGTAATTGAAGTAATTTATAAATTGTTAGTTCTTTTGTTTTTTTCTTAAGTTATGCTTTACCTTTATCGAAGATATCAAACAAAAGATGTGTCATCTCATCTTATTGCCTGTTCTGTCATTTATCTTACATATTTCAAGTAGTTTCATAGTCAATATGAAAATATAGGATAGACATTTTGTTTTCAGTGCCTTTGTATTTTTGAGATCATCTTGGATATCATATTGCTGCCTGAAACATTTGAAATACTTAATTCTTAATTCATAATTTTCAGATACCAAGAGAGTTTAAACCAATAAAATGGTGAAATTAGATATAAGGTTGGGTCAGAATCAAATTGATATCATTGCCTGCATGTATATTATATGCTTGTGTACCTTCTATTGTGACTAAAGAACCATAACTCTTAGATCTGTCAAACTCCAAACATTATGCACGTGCACTGACCCCAAAGTGTGTACGTTTAAATATTTTGTCCCAAGGATTTCTTTTGGGGGAATTTGGCTTAGAACTAAACATTTTCTCCTAGTAAGATGTACCTTCGAATTATGAAGGGATTAGCTGTAATAATAATTTTGATAATGTGGTAATCTGAAAAGCCAATGAAATGACTGGATTAGTGAGGTACAGTTTTAAGAAGCACAAACAATAACTACAGAAAATGATAAAGATAAGAGCTGCTTCATTTATGGTTTCATTAGAACATTAAAAACAAATGTTTGAATTATGTAATATGATTGTCATGTGCTGTCATTTTAAATCTCAGCAGTACATATGTGACACATGCCTTTAATGTTTTGTACAATGTAGTCATAAGAATATTATTATGAACATGAAAAAAGGTTTTTCAATTAATGATTGGATAATACAGATATTTTGTTTAAAAACCTTTGATAGGTCTGCTCAGGAAAGAAAATGAATATCAGTTGAGGATTACTTTATGTTAAACTCCCATGAAACTTTTTTTTATAGCTTGCATGATCTGTTCCTATTTTACTTTGTGGTGGAGTTGTCCTTCTTTGATATTCATGTTGTAGTATAAGTGCTGACTGTTTGTATCTCTTGATTCTGCAAGATTACACCATATATTGACAAGATAGAAATTGATTCCATAGAAGTAAATAACCTTTGTTTTGTAATAAAACTATCAAGATTCTCTTTGCTACTTTTAATTCAAGTTCCATTATTTAAAAAAGTACATTTATTTTGATGAATTTTTTGTGAAATTTGTTCAAAATTAATGAAGAGTTTTTTATTGTCTTATATCTGGCACTTGTCATTAGTTAAAATTCATTTCTTTTTATTTTATTTAAGTACCAGGATTTTTAAGTGTTCAAACTTAACAATAACCAAACCTAGTGAATATTCAAAACTTCAATTTATTTTTTCATTATTATACAGGACAAAGTAGATGCTGCTTTCAGTACCCAAAGAGAAGAGTTCTCCAGTTTCAACGCAGCAATGAAGGCAAATGCCAGTGATTCGAAAGCAGAAGGAGCCAAAGCTGATGGTAAAAAAGGCGACAAAAATGATGATCAAAAAGACAAGAAGGATGAAGAGGACAAAGATGATGATGATCTAGCATTGGGGGCTGAAGCCTCAACCATGAAGAAGAAAAAGCAAGGTGATGAGGATGAGGAAGAGGTGAAAGAGATTGTAGTTGAAGACTGCTTACCTGAGGCTTTTTACCAACGGTATGTATGTTATTAAGTATATCCAACGTCAGGAGTGTCAACTTCTTCTGTTGCTTTAAAACAGTTACAATATCACTGTGACACTTACTTCCTAATGAATGGGAGGTAAAAAGTATATAACTTCAGTCCACCACCATTTATAATTACAGTTTTGACAATGTTTTTTTTATAGAAGAGTAGAAAATATCAATGACTGAGTTCTATTTAACGAATTAAGATACAGCCTAAATTGATGGATGGAGTGACGTGGATGGGGATGTTAAATGGTTAATAACAAAAACAGAAAAATAATAGTTTCATCTTTATAATGAACTGTTTTTTGAAAAATTATTGATCATTACTTCAGCATCATTAAATTGATCACAATGTTCACAATGGATCATAAATCAAATGTAAAAGTATTTATTGAACATGGGTTTATTTTTCTTGCATATGTGCCCAACACACAGTAGATTTCTATATTATCATATGCTTTTTTGATGAAATTTCCTGATGACTGCCAAGTATACAAAAAAAAGGAAAAATCTTTGGTTATTACATTTATTTTTGATATCCATCACATTTTAAAAACAGTTTGTTCCAAAATTGTTTAAAATTGATTGCATATTGTTCTGAAAGCATAAAAAGCATGTCATCTGTTGGTAAATTTATTTTATATATTTGTATATATATATATATTTGATCATACTGGTTTCATATAGTCTGCAACGTTGGATTCCTTGGTAAGATATAGAGCTGATCAGTGCTAGAATCAGGTTTTCTGTTCCAACCCTCACAAACTCAGCAAGTTATACAAGTTGTTCTTACAGCTCACATGGCCCGATGGACTATGTAAGCTGTGATCTTATGATCACTCTCTGCATTACAATGTATTTATAATAAAATACCGAATAGAAAAGAATGAATGAAAACATCACTGGGTTGGATCTAGATCCTTGTTGGGCCAAGGGCCTTGTATTTAAGAAGGGAAAGTTGTGGGTCCCTGAGAAGAGATGTACAGGGATCAATACGAAAAATTTATGTTAGTTAATAAATCATACTCTTTCAACATGTGATTCTTTCATAAGTCAGTATCATTTGGCTGTATGGCCACGGGAACTCATAATCACCATTGTGTGAACCAGGGATCTGGGAACAAAAGAACGATAAAAGCTTAATATTGGGGTTGGTGAAAGTCAATGCTTAAATGCCTAGCAAGAAAGTGATTTTATCTTAATTTAGTGTGGAGCATTCTTGAGTGGAAACTCAATTTTGCATCATTAAAGTGTAGTATTATGCAATAGAATAAAAAATGGTGATAAGGTTTTCAAAGCCTAATCCTTCTACATTATCTAATGTGGCAAATGAGATTTCTTATCAAAAGTTATATAAACCTAAGGAATGGTGTTCAGGGAGCATAGGAACAAAAGTTGTAGTCTATTCGAAACCCACTTCTCCCTTTTTCTGCATTTCAAGGCAGAGAAGTGGGATTCTTATTTAGAAAAAACTTTTTTTATGTCCATGGACCATATTTAGTAATTTATAATTAAAGACTGTTGATTTTAAAGACCCTTGGATATCCTGCTGCTATGAGGGTTGGACAGAATAAAAACCCTGTGTATAGGCCAATGTTTAGTCTGTTTTATTTTTAACTTTTCTCTGCAGTCATCATGTGCTACATGTCATTTTTACCAATATAATATGTGATGATGTTGTAATGTCCTGTATTTTCAGCTGCCTTCTTGACTTTTTAAAGCCTTTTGAATCAAAATAAATGAAAAAAAAGAATAGACAAGAAATTGTATTACTTTGTATGAAAACAGCAATGTCAGCTTTATTCAATTTTGTGTCAGTTTTAGATAAACAATTTATACTTCATTGATATTGATTCAAAATCAAAAGAATAAAATCATTAACAAGCATGGAAAAGCATTGTAAGAACATTAATAGTCAAAACGAATGATAACATCAAACACCACATTTTGTTGATGAAATGTTTTAATCCATTAATGAATTCATTGCTTCTAACTGAGTCAGGTTTTATTTCAAATAGGTACTAAAATTGTTTTCAAAACATGATTCATGAAATCATCTAATTTTCAAACTGCAAAAATATTTGTAGGTTTGTACTTCATGATCTTGAAATCATTTTGTGGGCGTGTACATGTATGATAGATAGATATTCTTTATTTCCCTATTTCCATGAGATTATAAGAAGGTTAACGTGGTGCAGTACAAATCTTAAGTGACAAAGGATAGACAGTATTCTGTGAAGATGAGAATAAAATTGATTTAACAGTTAAATGCATAATCGATTCATGATTTGTTCTACATCAATCCAACCATTTGAATACACATTTTAGATATCACTTTTGTGATACATTTCGTCATTTCCGGCCCATTCAGTATTCGATACATTTAAATCATTGGATCGTTTGTAAAGAATTAATTGCAGTTGTACTCTCTCACTCATTTCCATGAAGTTTTTTATCTGTAGAAAGTTAGTAGTAATTTCAAGATTTATGTTTTAGTATGAAATGAAACGAGCTCATTTGTTTTAAATGAGTCATACTCAGATTTTACCTTTGTAGAAATATGTTTTGTTTTTGCCAGTAGAACACTAGTGTTGTAAAGGTGTTGCTTTAATCAAACCCTAAACTTTTTGTGCTATTTGAATGTAGATTACAATTATAGCTGTTCCCTTGCATGATTTATGTTTATCTGAACCTTTCAAGAATTATCAAAAAATGTATTCGTTTTTTTCAAACGTGATATCTTCTGATATTTTGATAAACAATCAAAGGTAACCTGAAATTCATGAAAAATAATTTGTAACGTTATACATTAAACATGATTTAAAACTTTGGAATGTTAACTGAAAACACTTGTCATAAAAAAAGGCAAACTCAGTCAGAGACCAACTAGGATAAAATTTGTCACATGACTAATAGCTAATGGCTAAGTGTTTTGTACACATACTATTGTTAAGACTTTCATTGCGCGAAAATTACTATAAGGTGGACAACATACATTTAAAAATGAAACAAATCCAGAACAAAAAGTTAAACAGATATGACTGTAAAAATAGAGGATTACTAAGGTACTTATGTTCCTGTCATCAGGTGGAATACTTGACTTTTTTGGGGAAATTGAATAATGGTAAAACCATTCAAACAAACAAGCAGGAAACCTTGTGGTTAATGAAAAAGGAAGGATTTTATAAATGTATGTAAAGTTTCACAAAGTCATGACAGAAACAGTTGAAACATCAACATCACTTTAAAGAGACATCTGTTGCTTGCTTGCTTGTTTGTTTGTTTGTTTGGGGTTTTTTGAGAAATTTGCCATTATAAATCTGAGGTGGTAGTGAATTAAGGACTGTTGCATGTGAAGTAGAACAATTACTTAATATTACATTATAGAAATGTCATCTTTTATAAGGATTTGTCAAAAGCTAAATTTAAAATTTGTTTTGTTTTAAATTCCTATGAACTAGAAATGAATTCCATAAATTTTCTGTCATTAAAGGGTCTTGTGGCTTACAGTATTTGTCCTATTGGTTTACAGGTGTGCATGCTGGCAGAAATTTGATGACACAGCATTTGGTAAAAAGTGGTACTTGTTCAGGAAAGTGATGGCTACTGTTATTGAGAACAAAATATTTGAAGGCATCATATTGTTCCTTATCGGTGTGAGCAGTCTAACACTGGTATGTTTATTGATCGATATTTGTTGGTGAAATAACAGAACTGTTATATCTAAGTAATAGTTGCCATACTCATTATCTTTGCACATATCATTGGTGTAGGACTTGATTTATGCATGATTTTTATATTATGATATTTATTTCATAAATATATATTAAATAGATATTACTGTGCCAATCAGATTTCTAGATTTCTAACTATAACAACACTAAATTATTTAAGATACTTGTATGTAAACTTATATATTTGAAAACATGCTTGAAAATATGAAAAATTAATGTTTTAATAGATTTTCTTCCCAGCATAGAAGGATCAGAATTAATTTATCTACATATATCCTGTTCTGCATGTTTGATATTGTTAATATATTTATGTGTTGAAGATAGCTTACCTCCTATTCTGTAATGATGTTTTTTCTTATCCTTAGGCCTTTGAGGATGTCTACTTGTATACTAACCCAACTTTGGAGACAGCATTGAACTGGCTAAACATTATCTTCGCAGTCCTGTTTTCGATTGAGATGTTAATGAAATGGGTTGGAATGGGGTTTAAGAAATACTTCACACAATTCTGGACATTGCTGGACTTTTGCATCGTAGTGGTGAGTGGGAATATTTGTTTTATTTTAGAATATTTTTTGCTGCAATTGTCTGTATCGCACAGGCAATTAATTCAAGTTAAATTGTACATTACACAAAATATGCTTGTATTTTGACAGCACTTTAAATGTAAGACAGAAATAATCCCTTTAGAATTTTTAGTGTCTCTCAAAGCTCCAAGGAACCTTTAAGACTTTTTTTACATTTATATTTTTCTATATTTGAGAAGATTCTAAAGTAAGTGTATATTCCATGCAGGTGTCTATTGCTAGTTTAGCAGCCAAGGCGGCCGGAGTTGACAATATTTCTGCTTTCCGGTCCTTACGTACCCTCAGAGCTTTCAGACCACTCAGAGCAATATCTCGGTGGCAGGGTATGAAGGTAAGCAAAAATTCACTGGATATAAAGGACCCTTACTTGAGGTCCTTTTAGCTTTCTGTCATCATTGTTTAAAATCATCTCCTCATTTGGTTGTACATACCTCTACTTTTGGATAAGAGCCTCCAATTAAATTCAGATTATTGGTAATTTTAGTCTAAAACTCGATATTCTTTCAAAATAATTCAATGATTTTTACGAAAACATTGTCTCTTAAGATGACTTGATACACATATACATGTGTTGTATTAAGATGTGTAAGTACAGGCATAATTAAATTGATGTATGTTCTTTGGTAAAGTTAGAAAATTGAAACATCAAGTATATTACATTATTATTAAACCTCCTACCTTTTTCATTCTACGAATTAAACATTCTACCTTTTTCATTCTTCCGAATTAAACATTCTACGAATTAAACCTCCTACCTTTTTCATTCTTCTGAATTAAACCTCCTATTCCTTTTTCTACCTTTTTCATTCTTTCGAATTAAACATTCTACCTTTTTCATTCTTCCGAATTAAACCTCCTACCTTTTTCATTCTTCCGAATTACACCTCCTACCTTTTTCATTCTTCTGAATTAAACATTCTACCTTTCTCATTCTTCTGAATTAAACATTCTACCTTTTTCATTCTTCTGAATTAAACATTCTACCATTTTCATTCTTCCGAATTAAACATTCTACCTTTTTCATTCTACGAATTAAACCTCCTACCTTTTTCATTCTTCCGAATTAAACATTCTACCTTTTTCATTCTTCCGAATTAAACCTCCTACCTTTTTCATTCTTCTGAATTAAACCTCCTACCTTTCTCATTCTTCTGAATTAAACATTCTACCTTTTTCATTCTTCTGAATTAAACATTCTACCATTTTCATTCTTCTGAATTAAACATTCTACCATTTTCATTCTTCTGAATTAAACATTCTACCATTTTCATTCTGCCGAATTAAACCTCTACCTTTCTATTTCTTCTGATTTATTTATTGGATGACTGAAATATTTTACCAATTGACTAAAATGGCGTGAAGTAAATGTATCTACTTTTGTTTGAACACAGATTGTGGTGAATGCACTGATGTTGGCCATACCTGCTATCTGTAATGTACTCGTGGTGTGCATGGTCTTCTGGCTTATATTCAGTATCATGGGCGTCCAGTTCTTCAGTGGAAAATTTTTCAAGTGTATTGATGAAGATGGTGCAAGACTGGAGTCTACTGTAACTGCCAATAAATCAGAGTGTTTAGCCAAAAATTATACCTGGCAAAATTCGAAGATCAACTTCGATAATGTTATCAGTGGATATCTCGCTCTGTTTCAAGTTGTAAGTAATTCTTATTTATATTTCTGTAGGATCAAGGTTAAATCATAAGAGTAATTTCATAGATAATCTTTCATGATCGAGATTAACAGTGAAACCACACAAAACCTTACAATACAATCAGTTATTGTTCTACTGTATGATTTCTCATTCTAGATACAAATGTTCCTTGCTACCCAAACTGTTCAATATCCAAGGGTTTGTTCTCAATATCAAATTGGGGTTTGAAATGTTTGCCACTCATTAAACATGGTACCCAGTGGTAATATTGTCACTACCCAAGTCTTATTATGAGGATATTCCATTATGTAGATTTGACATGGATTTACACAATGATTTTTATCAAGGAGGCAGACATAAATCTTCTGTCTCATTTTGCTGTACATTTGCAAGGGTGTTTTTCTCTTAATTGCCCGTTTTATCAATTTTAGAAAAGAAATAGATTGCATTTAAGCTGTCCTCATAGCCTTTTGAAAAATAGAAATTAAGAAAGACCAGAGTTCTTGTCTGGAATTCCATTCAAACTATACAAAAGAGCCCCATCTAATCTGAAAAATTAGCAATACGTTCTCAGTTAAAGCAGTATTGAATTGAGAGGTGGCATTAAGTAGATAAAAACAGTAATTGCCAGCTGAAATTTGATATTGAGTTCATAAATTTCCCATTATTCTTCTTTCTTGTAATATAGGTAACCTCAGGTTATTTTGTTATTTTCTATTGTCTTCAGGCAACTTTTGAGGGATGGATGGAAGTGATGATTGATGCTGTTGATGCAACTGATGTAAGCTTAAAAGGAAGCAGACCTTAATTGTAGAACTGTAGCACTGGAGTTACAAGTTTCAAATGACATTATAAATTATAAAGATTTTTGTCTTTTCATCCTAACAAAAGTTAAAACAGTTCTTATTGGTCAGATAATTTTCTGATATATCCTTTTTATAAGCTTGCATGGAATACAGACCAGGCTATGTACATTTTAAAAGGAGAAGAAATGAGTTATTTATGATTGCAAAGGTAACAGATGGTTGAAGGAAACCTTTGAATTTTTTTTTAAACATTACTGAATAAGTTATATAAGAATATGTAATTTGATTTACAGGTGGACGAACAACCAAGATTTGAGGCTGGATTGTACTATTACCTGTACTTCGTGGCATTCATCATTTTTGGAGCATTCTTCACATTGAATCTGTTTATTGGTGTCATCATTGAAAACTTTAATGCTCTCAAGAAAAAGGTAAATAACCTCACTTTTCTGTGAAATCTCGCTGTAGAGGAACTTTAATTGTTGTTAATAATGCAATGGTTTTATTAAAAGAAAATCTGCCAGTGAAAGTACTATTATCAATAAAAATAACTGTTCTCTGTATTTTTCCTTTTCTGAAAGGTGTTTACTTTTTTTTCAAATTTCAGTATGAAGGCAGTTATTTGGATATGTTCCTCACTCAAGGCCAACGAAATTATATGAACACACTGAAGAAACTAGCGAATAAGAAGCCCCAGAAAACAGTCAAGAGACCAAAGGTAGCAAATATTACTGGTTTAAATCAACGCAGAAAAAAAATGTTTAAAGAACGCATCTTCTTGTTCTCCATTATCAAGAGAGTCCATTAGGGAAACATGTTTTATGAAGATATTTATGTATATATTTAATTAAGATAAGGTTCTTTTAAAATCAATAGTGAAATTCTTTCAGGGTCCAAGTTTTTGGGTAAGTTTTATTAGCTTTGTAGCGCATGTTCTGCTAGGAATGTTTACAGAAACAGGAATCCGACTTGCTACGACAATGTATATATGTTTTCATGTATCTATATATGTATAAGCAAAAAAGTAGTAATGACATCACGGAAAGAAATTTGTTTAAAATATATTTGGAGGGGAATAACCTGTGTCAAGGCACGTTTTTTTTTTTTTTTTTTTTTTTTAACAAAAATGGACTTTTTTTTTTTTTTTTTTTTTATATTTTTTTTTTTTTTTTTTAATTTTTTTTAATTCTATCATCTGCATCTGGAAGCCAATCATCAACAGGCTCTTTGAAATGAGAAATCCATCGTAATTCCTAGTGAATGGCATTCAATAAACATTGTTTTGCTTGGTTGCAGAATATGTCTCTATTGGACCGTCCTGTCATTATTAATTTTCAATTCTAATTAAACATTTATTTGCTTGTACAGTAATGATTAAATCATTGATCATAAAAGTTGACTAGAACATTCATTATTATTGTTTGCATCATTTAGTATTGTTATTTTGACTGTTTTGTTGAATCGTCTTCCCAAATTCTGGCTGAATGAAAGTATTTTCTAAATTCTCTCAGTAATTCGTATAGTTTTGTTTGCAGTAGAACTGATGGTCTGTTATTCCAAGCATTATCTAAATAGTGTGTAAATAGACTACAACATCATGCTGGTCATTGAATGTCTGCTATTAACTAACAGTATCCACGCTGCTTGTCGAGCTCTACATTTATATTTATTCACAATGTATAATTTCACTTTAAAGTCAATGGTGGTGAGAAAATCACATTTTTTCATAAAACATTAAATTTTATCAACTTTTTTATTATTACTACATTTTAATTTTGCAATTTTTTTCAATATACTTTTTTTTTACATTATATTTGTGCTGTAAATCAAGTCATGTACATATTATATATCAATGCCAGCAGTTTAAAAATCTTTGTCTTTTTTCCCATTAGAATTAAGGCATAAACACTGTTGACCTGATGTTGTGTTCTGGAAAGTCTTGTTCTGCTCTTGAAACCTGTACCTTTCAGATTCACTTCTTTTATTCTCATTCTAAAGGTCAATGGATTATGTTGAATTGCATGAATTATATTCAAAGTCTTTGTTACATCAAATTACATCAGATCATTTAAAATTCATTTCATTTTATTACATAGACATCACCATACCAAATACCAATACAGTGTTTCATTATCATGGTAAAAGTATTGGAATATTGCTAAAGCATTTTAGTGAAAGGATCCAACTATATATGGACATCTGCCATTAATCTGTTTATTCCATTCTATGTCTATGGTGTCTGAAAGGCAATGCTTGTGTACTTTGGTATATCAAAATGGTTGTATGTTCTGTTATTCATGTTTTAAAATAGTGTTGGCAACAATGAAAATGTCATGTTATTCTGTTGTTCTATCTGACAAACTTCCTATTTCTTTCAAATGTGTAGATTATAATTTTAAAAAATGATAATTTTGGTCTTATGAAAAGCCATAACTGAATCAGTTATGATTGGACATCAAAAATCTGTATTGTTCTTTTCTCATGTCCTGTAATGTTATGCATGTGTCTCGTTATTTTTCTGTAAATTAATGTTGTACAAGTATATTCCATATCAAGAAATGTTCATTTTTTTTCTTTTCTTCTAATCATATTATTTTTATATCGAGCAATGTTTGAAAAGGAAAATTAAGCTAAACAAAGAGATCTTAGTTACTTATGACTTTTGCATAACTATAACTTTTCATTTTGAAAAAATATAGAGGAAAATGGAAAGCAAACTGTACATATATACATATATATAATACATATGTAAGCTTACATCAATCCAGCTCCAAACCTTGAATAGGTCTTTGAATTCATTTTTTTACTTGATTTGAATAATTTAATTTTCCCACATTTTGTTCACCACAGATGTATCATTTGATAACAACATGCACTTATATGCAGACATTACTACTCAATTATGTATTTGTAATATCGTGCTTAAGAAATCCCAGCAAGCAATTCCAAGACAATAAGCCGTAAAACAAAACATCTAAGTAACAGATTCATTTTATGTTTCATCTGCCTTTGTCAAAATATTTTAGGAAGTAACACTTAATGTATTTCAACCTAATAGATCAATTGCAAAATCTTTTTAACGTAAAAAGATACCATACTATGAAAATTTTACTTTCTGTTTCAGAATTCCTTCCAAGCAGTATTTTATGATGTGTCTGTTAGCAGCAAGTTTGACTTGGCAATTATAGTGTTCATATTTCTGAACATGATTATAATGGCCGTGGACCACTACAAAATGTCCGACCTGGTCACAGATGTCCTGGATATCATGAACATAGTTTTCACTACAGTCTTCACTATGGAGGCTGTGGTCAAAATCATTGGTCTGCGTCTGCATTACTTCCGACAACCTTGGAACGTATTTGACTTTGTGGTGGTGGTCCTCTCTTTAGGAGGTAAAAATTATTAATTATTATATGTAATTAGTATAGAACATTTATAACAAGTGATGCCTTTGCTAACTTTTCACAAAACTCATAGTTATTTTATGAATCATTCGTAATACCGGGTACATATATGTTGATCAATGATAGCTTACACCTCATGATCATTTATCTAGTACATGTACCTCTGTGACATAGTAAAAACAGATTGCCCAAAAGTTCTCATAACATATTCAAAAGACTTGGTAACTTCTTTACCAAATTTTTTTGATTTTTCATTTGTGGAAACAAGACAATTTGATTGCATATATGTTAATCACTGTCATAATTTGACATTTGAAATATTCATCTGTCTTATCAGTGAAGACTTTTATTTTACAGCAGGTGCATGTATTAAATAAATGCTAGAACAATATATAAATGACTATAATATGTTACTAGATATCACTTATGTGACCATTTGATAGGGTGTACTATTAGATCATTTATGTGGAGTTTATAGGTGCTAGATACTAATAATATAGACGTCATTAATTATATGGAATATGACTCTCTAATCTTTGCATGCATTGTGTTATAACATTTCTCATTTTTTAATCAATATATATATATATGTGTGTAGGTGAACAAAAACCAAAAGGAGTAAATCAACTTCAGTTACATTGTTTACACATTTCACAATTAGCTGAAGTCAGTGTTTAGATATTGAACTCACTGTCTTTGTAGAAATAGTTTCTTTGTTGGAGTATAATCAGATCAGACAGTTCCTGTACTTTGTGTACAATATGTTCTAACAAGTTTTGTCATACTCAATGTCACTCATTTCATTGCTAAATTTTTAGTGGTGATTTTGGACGCAGCAGGTAACATTCTAATGTTAAATGTTTGGAGTGAAATATATATTACACTCTCCTGGCTTCTTGTCAAATATCATTTGGAAAAATTCTAATCTTCAAATATTGATATATACAAAATTGATCAATTTGAGTCAACTGCAATATTTTCTTTTCACAAATTTTTGTTATATAGTAAGTGAAAAATCATTTGTCTTTAACCCGCTTTCTCAAATTTGTGACATTTAAACACTAGTAAATAATCGGGTCTTCATATTTTAGGGTTCATATAACACAGCATTAACATTGAAACTGAATTAAGTCTATAAGAAGTTAATATATAAAGAGATATTAAAGTTATTTATTATTTAAGTAATCTAACATATTGATTTCAGTGCTACACCAGTACAAAGGATGTGCAAAGGCTTAATTATACAGTTTATTGCTGGTTTTATATAAGATTTAAGCTATGATTTTACATCAGAAAAAATATGGCTGCAACAAAAATGCTAAATATATCTTGTCACATTCTATTTCAAAAAGCAGGGTTAATTCAAATGTTATTTTCAAAAATATAACTTTGATATATAGTATGTATTTTGACAGAAGCCTCGAGTTTGAGCTTAGAATTAAATTGTATTTTACAGTAGTAAGTGATATTGCATCTTGGAATATAGACCCTGCTCTTAAAGCTGCAAATTGATTAATGAATAGGACCAAGGTATTTGTATTGAGTACAGGGTCTGTATGTCCGAGTAAAGTAGACAAAGTAGATCAGAAAGTAGGAATGTTTAAATCATGTTCACATAATTAGAATTTCCTCTTTAATTTCAATTATCCTGTGTACATGTAAAGATATATTGTTTGATAAAGAAAAAGTCCATGTGTTCACAAAATCTGCTTGATATGTACCAGGTATAAGAAAGTAACTTCATTTGAAGACTGAAGCGTACCTAGTATCTGTTATACTGTATAAAGAACACTAGAAATTTTATCCGTCTATTTCATATCTTAAAATGAGAAGTATTTTTTATAAAACTGCATTGAATGCATGTTGTATCCGAGTTGAAAAAACACACTTTAAATTTTGAATGAATCCCTCTGCTGCATCCAGCATCAACCAGCTTACGTGAACCTTCATGCTAGACCTATAACACATTGCTAGCTTTAAGGGTGACAGTGTTGAAGTAGGCTGCACACACGTAGTGGAGAATTCACGCCAAGTTGATCAATTGTACATCATGTACGTCACTTAGATGTGCATCAATGATGAAATAGGTTGAATGCTTTATAAGTTCATACATTGTTTTGAAAAATGCACACTTATGGTTGAATTGCAAAAAAATAAATTTGCTAAACGCTTGTATAGCAAAGAATATCTTACCAGATTATATTAGTGTATAAAGGAATTTCCTATTGTAATATTATATTATGTATTGTGACACTTCATTGTCACACAATTTGCTTTAAGGTTATATTTTAAGTTCATAGTAATTACCTACATGTATATATTTTGTTTCGCACAGTAAACAAGTCCAGTTGTGGCATACTAACCGTTCTTATGTATCTCCAACCTGAGCTGTCCTTATTAAATGCATATTTGGATTCACTATGCTTCCTATGTGAATGATATATTCCTCCAACACCAGACTTGATATTTCTCCAACACTTCCTTCCTTACATGGAACGAAGTGTCGTTAACAGTCATATTGATTCATAGATTCGATCAAGTAACTAATTTGATGTCATAGTTCTGTTATTGAAAATGTGTCTGTATATTTTCACACAAATTTTCAGTATTTAAACATTTGTGTTCTACAATTAACCTAACTTTATTGCTTATTGATAAAAGTTCCAATACTAAAGCATATTAAATAGTATGTACTTTAATTTGCTTTTAGTTCAAGGATAGTATGATACATAAATGGGAGGTTTGATAAAGTGTAACATCATCAGGGGGCTTTTAAAGGTTAGCCATGAATTGATACATAAATATTTAAAACACAGAATTACATGAATTTGTTAGAAGTAGTTTTAATATATATATATAATTGTACAACTGTAATTTCAATTCAACAATCACATAATGGATTTCTTGTTGGAAACTTTGATGATTCATTTAACACCAAGTCATTGTCTATTGCTAATACCTGCCATTTCAAAAGTATCAAACTTCATGTGTACAACACATATCATATGGAAATCATGTTTCTGTTGCTTTGTCATGAACTTCTAACATTTGTCAGACTTAGTATTTTTGTTCAGCAAGGCTTGATGGGGAAACCTGCAAATGCCTTTTGCTGTGGGGCTGTGGGGAATACTATACACTTGATAAATGGATAAAAAGATGGAAAATGATTAATTTTGCTGTAAATGCTTGATACCCACTTAACCTGAAAGCACAAATTAGGCGAGATGAATTGTATTTATTGACTTAAATATGATGGTATCAAAACTGTGAAATGATAGAGATGAGGAGGAAAACATGTAAATATACATTATAATTTGTGTTTAATCCTACACTTAATGTGATAGCTCCTGACAGTAATTTTCCTTACTTGAACAATTACGGTGGCAAATATTAATTCATGTTCGATTTTCTCTTCTTCAGGTATCATACTGGACCAGGTTCTTGATGGGCTTATCGTTTCTCCAACGCTTCTCAGGGTTGTTCGTGTGTTTAGAATTGGTCGGGTCCTGCGACTTATCAAGGCAGCAAAGGGTATACGAAAGCTTTTGTTTGCCCTCATTATATCCCTGCCCGCTCTCCTCAACATCGGAGCATTATTGTTCTTGGTCATGTACATCTTTGCCATTATCGGCATGTCCTCCTTTGGGAATGTGAAAATTGAGTCTCCTCTTGATGATACAGTGAATTTCCAGACGTTTGGTAATAGTTTTGTGTTGCTGCTACGTTTGTCTACGTCAGCAGGATGGAATGATATTCTCGAGCCGTTGCTTATAGAGCCACCGGATTGCGATCCCGATTACATCATACGGTCAGATGGAAGTAAAGTGGAATCGAGCAATGGTGACTGTGGGACTCCATGGCTGGCTTACTTCTTTATGGTAGCCTACATTATTGTGATATTTTTAATTGTGATAAACATGTACATTGCTGTGATTCTGGAAAACTTTAATCAGGCTCACGAACAGGAGGAAGTTGGTGTAACTGAAGATGACTTTGATGAGTTTTACGTGGTCTGGGAAAAGTTTGATCCTCTAGCCACTCAATACATAAAGTATGAACAGTTATCAACCTTTGTGGCAGATCTTGATCCTCCACTTGGCATACCTAAGCCAAATGAGATAGCTTTAGTGGCATGTGATTTACCAATCATGGAAGGGGACAAAATTCATTGTTTGGATGTGCTCATAGCACTAGTGAAAAACGTCCTAGGACGGGTGGAAGAAACAGAGGAATTTAAAGAATTGCGTGCTCAAATGGAAGAGAAATTTGAAGAAACTTTCCCAACACGTGTCAACAATGGCAAAATGTCTAGCACAATGCAGAAAAAGAAGGAAGATGTGGCTGCAAAAACATTACAACGAGCATGGCGTAGCTTCAAAACACAGAAACAGCTTCGCAACATCACAAAAATGGCCATGGACAAAAGCAAGGATGATGAAGACAAAAAGTCCAAGGGTGGAGCACTTGCTGCGCTTGGCCAGCGCCTCTCTACAGCTCTTTCAAATTTCTTCAGTGGTTCATCTCGTCCTGGTAGTGCTGCTAGTGCACGTAGTGTAAAAAGTTCTGACCCTGACGCGGGCAAAACGAAAGTGAACACAAACACGCTACAGATGCCATCTGTTGGGGCTCTATACAACAACCAGAAAGATGAAAATAATAGAGATGTAGAATTGTGATAATACTTGAAATATAATTGTTTTAACTCTTTGGACGAGATGAATATGAAATGTAATTGCGAATGTGTATGCGTTATCTGTTGAATAGCATGTTGATTATTGCTGCTGTGTCTAATATGTACTGGTGATCCATTTTGTGTAAAGGGCATGGTGAAATTATTATTGTCAACTCCATCAAAGGAAGTGTTTCGCTGGAAATGTATCTGAAATAGAAAAATATAAAAAGGATCTGAATATGGTCTTATAGCCTCTATTGTGTTTAAGAACAAGACCAAGAGGTTTACCCAGCCAGAAACAAGGATTGCTATTGGCTGACGTAGGAGGGACACATCAAACTAGTGTCTCAGACTTAGCCTAATGAACATCCATATGTCCATTTATAACTTAATAAGCATAATTTTTACTTATGCCTCTCAAACTACTGTGATAGCTGTCGTTCAAAATAGCGACAATATTTCTGTTAATGTTGTACATAATTAAGTATTACCCATGGGAGAAAAATGATGCAAGCAGTTTTGTGAAACTCTAAAGACTAGATGGATTTTGTGGTTTTCTTTTTTATTTAACATGGATAGGTATGAATGATTTTACTGTGGTAATTTCCATCATCAGGAAGGATAAGTGTTCTGTTATACTAATGTAATATGAATAATATTAAGTAAAATTCTACAAAATTTATATATTAAACTGTGATCTATTCTGAACAAACTTATTTTCCTTCAGGTCGATGTTAAATTTACTTTTTTGTTTTAAAAAATTCAAAATGAATAACAAAACTTTTTTTCAGTGAAGAAAATATAGGTGTACTTATTCATACAGAATAAACATAGGTACCTTACATTTTGTTTGCAAATAATATGGTTTACATTAATCGCTTATTAAGCTTTGCTTAAAGTAATAGTTGTCTGGTACTACCCCATCTGACTAGATACGCGACAATGTAGGTGTCCTGGTGATATTGTTGATTTCCTTTTCTTGTTATTTATTTCAGTTACATTTCTACAATAATGTAAATCTTTTTATTGGGGTTATTTTCATTGGTGATAAAAAAAAAACTTGAGAACAAAAAAAAAATTAAGTTTTACCTTGCTCTGCTATTTCCTCTTTCACAGATTACCTTTCTGCATATTTTTCACCATATTATTCAGCGAGAAAATATATTACTGCAGTTTATTTTTCTGTAATACCATAATCCTGTTAAATATAATTTTTCTATTAAATTTTTTATTCATAGCGATATCTTATTCATTTCTTGAACTATATAGATCTGACATGTCATATCTTATTGTAAAAAATTGAGGTTTGCGGTTTCCTCAATTTTAGCAATTTACAATATCACCTGTTTTGTAGCATAATTGTATCTTAGCTTATATTTGAAATTAAATTAATTGATCATTTTGTTTCTTTTTGATTTTAATGTGGTTGTTCTTGTATATTACTGATTGTCAAAAGTTCACAGTTGCCAAAAACTAAATGTAGATCTAACACACATTTATGTTGTTGTCACATTGTTCTTTGTATTTATCTTTCTATGAGTACATGGAGGTTTCCTTTATCATTATTCTTATCTATGTCATTTAGTATCATATTCAACTTCACTAGTCATTGCAACTCGTTCATACCTTTTTTACCATTTCGAGTTATAGAACGGACACAATGTTTTTTCTCCCTCTCAGTTATAATGGGAATTGTTTTTGTGTTAATTAAACCTTTAGAACGCTTCATTCTTTCATCAAATTTAAGGTTGAGAGAAAAAAAAAAGGAAAGTGTTTTAGCGAAATGGTTATTTAGGTTATAAGAGTGCAATTTTCATTTTGCAAACCAACTTCTTATAAAATCATTAATTTTGCACTTCAGAACGGGATGTCATTCATAGATATAATAAATGAATATGAAATAAGAAGAATTCAAGTGATAAGGAAAAAGTTGTCTCATTTAAAACAAGTTTGAGTGAGAGAACTTGTATACTTCTGTACTTTGTATGTTATAAGTATGTCCTACTCTGTTTGGTTTTTGATATTCAAGTATTTGGTTCCAACTTAGAAAGGAATTGGCCCAAGATAATCAGATGAAATTTATATTATATCCTTTTGGTAACATGAACTAATGAATGACCAACTTCTTAAATACATAAATTGTTAGTGCAGAAAAGAGACACTGATGTAGCTTCATTTGATAATATAAAATATGATGTAATGACACAATAAAAAACAGATCTGTATTTCATTTTCCCGAATTTTTTATTTTAGAACCAGTTCAGTGAACAAATTTAAAGAATTCAAATCTCATTGTTAACAACATTTATTTTACTTATCACTTTTAAGAAAACCTTGAATTATGAATATGTTATTGTCTGTGGAATTATTAAGTGCTAAACTATGTGATTATTATGCAAATTGAAGTAATATCCTCATGAGTGATGTGCCAATGTATCGTAAGTGTACAAGAATCTCTCTGAAAATGTCATGCAAATCTGGAAAATGCTTGTATTATCACTGTTTTCCAGGTGCAAATTTTTTGATACACAATATGAACTCAGAATTTTATCATTATGGCAATGGTATATTTGTTATTTTCAATCTTCTGTAAAGTGCACGATGTATGTGTTGTTTGATTTTGATGATTCGTCATCCAGATAAATGTTTTTGAATGACTTTATATGATACAAAAATATTAGTATTTGAACACAAAGCTGATTCCATTTAAAGAGGTTATAAAATTTTCAAGAAATCCTGTAAATCTGTCTTGTCTAATGACCCTCATAGATGATATATGATAAATATCAAATTTGTCCCACTTTCCTGAACTATTTTGTGATGCTTTTGAAAAACACAGTAACAGGATAAAAGTCTTCAAAAATAAGAGATGAAGTTTTAAAAACTGCCATTTACAACACTCATCTGCTCTTTTTTCATACTTTCTTAATCGAAATTTGTGGAATTTAATTGAATTTGGATTTTTAAGAGAGTGACTTGATGTGTTAGAAATGACACTAAAACAAAAGATATAAGACTGGATATCCATGGAGATATAAGACTGGATATCCATGAAGATATAAGACTGGATATCCGTGAAGATAAATAGTAATAGTTTGATGGTTTGATCAAGGTAGATATAATATCCATCAGTCCATATTAGGTCATAACATTAAACACGGTTTTACAAACCTGATCTTTTCCTGATTATGAGGTACTAAATGGGAAACAATTGATATGCTGCGTTATGTTATCATCGCCAATATATTTTCTAAACTTGCGAGATGTCATGTGTATAATCTCAACCATGCCATACCGATTGGTATAGGTGTTATAATGATTTAGAGATATAAACAATAGTAGTCTAATGAGAGACGGATGTGGTATGTGATCTAAGGACTTCTAACTTGTCATGACAACCCTTTATTACTAGTTTTAGGTCCTTTACACATTATTTCAAGTTACATTTCAATCTTATCAAACTTAAATGCATTGATGAATGATTCTAAAATTTTAGAACTTAATGTTAACAATCCATCCAGAGAAAAAAAAACAACAGATGCATAATTGACTCGGCATTTACAGACTGATAATTGACAAAATGGCATACATGATCTTTATTTTTACAGAGATGTGATATTTCATAGGATGTGTCATTAATTATTTCATGGAAACAATGTATTAACTTAAATCAAAACCTTAGAGTTATCTGCTTATGTATGAGATGTCATTGTTATGATTTGCAATTTTGTTGTTACATATATAGTTGTAAATAAGTATTGTAAATATATTTATGTATTATTATCATTTAAAGACAGACATTTTATGATTAAAACAAATTATTTTTATTACAAAATGCAAGGTGGCTCGAAGATTTGCCCTAGTGTGTTGTCCCAGCTACTCTATTTGTTGGCGGCTCACATGGCTATGGCTACGTAGGGTAGCTATGTTGGCCAGCCACCCTATAATGTATCCACGCCCCTCATCACTTTTATCTCACTCTGTATTAAGCTGGTGGACACCAGGATTTCAAGCTAACCGGCGCTCCTGAAGATTTTTTTTGAACAATAAACTTTTTGCAGAAAACATGGTTTTGTTGTATACTTATGACTGAAAGACGTACTTACTTTTCATCTGAATTTCTGTTTGATTGATTTTCTTTTGCTATATCACCAAGTCCTCTGTACGGATCACTCGTATCACAAACAAAAACAAAAAAAAAAAGTCATAGTGTACATGTATAAGGTAATATCTATATTAGACATATTTTTATATAAGAGATCAAGGTAGTACAAATCCTTTGTATACCCTTATTAGCTCTAAAATCTTATGTTAGGATCTCTAGATGAATTCCTGCATTCCTGTGAGAATGTCGAACTTCCGGTTACAGGGAAAACCCTGCTTGTATGGTTCATTCCTTGACTTCTCAAAGGAAAAATATCTGTTGACGAATTGTTATAATGCCGTTTACATCCTAAACATGGAATTAATTCCTTGTAGGCTTTCCTGATGTTCGAGTTAAAAACTCCATACACAAACGTATTTACACAGCTGTTTGTATAACATAAATAGATAACAAGTAGGTGCACAGATTTAGGGACATCATCTGCTTTCTCAAACATAGCGACTAATCCAAAAGGCATCAACAATACAAAATAGGATGTAAACACAGCAAAATGTGCTCGGCAAATAGCATCTTCGTGCTTCAGCCGCGTTTGAACGAGACCATTATTCCAGTTTCGGTAAAGCCTTTTTTTTGATTGTATATAATATCGGTAAATCAGCATATAGCACAAAATCGTTAAAGAAATCGGCACCATCAGACACAGAACCATGTATATTATAGCATAAGCTTTGTACTTGAAACGATTAAATATACACATTTGCAGAGTCACATCAAGGAAAAAGCCATCTTCCAGGGTTAGCAATGGTATTGCGAAAAGTAACCCAGCCGACCATATACTGATACAAAACATACACAACGTCTTCTTATTAAAAATCTTGTTGTAATATTTACCATGACAAATCTTGATATATCGATTGATGGCAATACTCATCAGTGTAATTACAGATCCGGTGAAACACAAATGTGACAAAACTGCCGCGAACATGCACGCCTCAGGTGAAAGTGGATAACTTCCGGTGGCAGATGTTACGAAAGTGATGGGCAAAAGAATACCGATGATCATGGTGTCGCACACCGCCAAATTTACAGTGAACACGTTGTGACTTACACGTAATCGCTTGTATCGAATACAGGTCACAATCAAAAGAATGTTTGCTGGAAGGCCAATTATAAACAATAAAGTCACAATAACGGCAGCTGCTGACGACTGCATCACAATTTCAGTATCATCAAGAATGTTGCTGTAATTTTCCATTTTCCGTATGTAGTCTTCTCGCATGTATCAGTTACAGATCACATATTTAAATCTAAGAGAGAAATTAAGCGAATTTTTAGTTTAAAAATGTAAATCTGGCCAAAAATATCATGGTTCAACAATGGTTTTGCTCTTAAATTGCCTTAGTGTTGTAAATCATCGAGTACGCTGTGATATTGAGGTCGTACACTTTCGATTTTAAAACGGCTAATCCGTCGAAGTTCGGCCTGCTCCTGGCTTCCCCAGAGACCAGAGGTGGCTCTTCGTCCATTAGATGTAAATACGTAGCCTAATGTAAATTCCCTGTCGACGTCTTTACACTGACCTAGCAGTTATTGCCCTGAAACAAAGAGCTGGAAATAGTGCCGTAACATCCGTAAGCTCAAACTGTCTAGAGGCAAAATCCTTTAGTCGGTAAATCTGATAGCTATCTTCCTGCAAGCGGTAATTTCTGCTCTGTAGAATGCATGCATATACTTGTACATCTTTACCGTAAAAAAAATCGGCTGTCGGATAAAACTGACGAACGGAAGATAACTCTGATAAAATGGCGTGATCTACCAAACTGCTTCATATATAGTAGTCCTCATACCGGTCCAGGAGACTAGCCATTTGAAACTGGAGTAACATGAACGACAGGATGAAGAGAAATCGATCATATCGTAATACCGCTAACTGTATTGATATCATAGGACATCTAGAGCCCATCATGAAATGTACTAGGGATTTGCTGGGTTTTTTCTGTCCACACCCACGTGATATTATATCTGTAACCGACTGGTTCCTATTACATCACTTTCTCCTACACTTATTTACGACGTCATTGCGTTTAAATTTTGGGTCATCTGACCCGAAGGGCAAGGCTATTAATTATTGGACATGATTTGGGAAACTTTTCCATTGGTCTTGAACTTAACGTTTGATTATTACATAAGTTTAAAGGACGGGCAGTGTCCAAGAAAGAAATAAAAACCAGTCTTCCTGAAAATCCGGTCTTTTCCTCATATTTCCCCCTTGTTTCATCTGACGGTATTTGGGCATTTATGTTATGTTGACATGTGAAAACGGTCAGCGTCGCTTTTAAGCTTTTTATCGTGGTGTGATGCCACGAGGAGTCGCCTGAAATAGCATCATTACATTGTGTAAATGTGTGACCATAGTGACTACAGAGCAGAAACAGAAAATGATCACGTGTGTTTCTACAACGGCGATTGGTGGTCCACACCCCCGAAAACTCGATTCTATGGAAACGCATTAAGCACGCCAAAGTTAAAGCAAGGGCTGTACGTGATGATTCACTGAAATACAAAGCACATGTGTTGTCTAATGTATTTGATAAGGTATCGCAATAAACCGGAATTTCTTTTTCTTCCTTTTTTTAATTCAATGACTAGTTCCTTCCGGTAAGGTTATCATTGGTATTCAGGTCGCTGGGAAATATACTCTAAGGTATTAAACATAATCGGGCAAGTTATAAATCATTAATACTCTCTTTATGGCACTATTGATTTAATGAATAATAAATGTTTGGTTACAATATCATAACTGCAGGGTTAGGAAGAAAGGTGAGATGGTGGACACTAACGGTCATGTATACGACACCTCGGTGTGAAAGTCTTAGTACTAATGTATCTCACGGTAGCTACTTGTCCTGATATGGTCGGTAAACAATGACCAATCTCTTGAGTGATACCGATAGATACAATAATAGCCAATATATTGAAGTTTAAAGCCGAGTGTTCTTCAATCAGTGGGAGTCTTTCATATAGTGGGAATAGGTTACTTTACCCTTGCTCTTTTTATGTTAACCTGTTTACAAATACCAACATATACTGCTGAAGAATTGCCTGAGCCATCGATCCATTGACGTTGAAGGTATATCCATGTATCTTACATATCCGACACGACATATTTGAAAATGACCTACCTTAGATTCTGCCCCAGATTGTGCTTTATTTCTAAACATATCAGTTCAGTGTTCCGGTGGCGCAGTAGTTATCACTCGCCTTTCGCTAAGGCGACCAGAAAACTTCAGTTCCCAAATCGTACGTGAAAATTTACAATGTCACCCTCTACACCACGTGATTTTCTCCGGGTATTCCGGCTTCCTTTCCTTGTAAGACCAAGTACAAATAATCATACCCAGACTCCTTTGTTCAGATAAAAGATAAATATCAACTTATAAATAGATGTTACAATGTTGATTTGTTTCATTTTTGTTTTTGTTTGTTTGTTTGTTTTTGTTTCATAGTTCCATCACAAAACGGAATTCTGATTTGATGACATACAATTCATGAACGGGATCATAATTTGTAGAGGAAAAGCCTTAACATCATCTGTGATGATATCCGTAAAAACATTTACGTACTTTGTGTGATGAGAAGGAGTTTTAAAGGGCGATATTAGAAATAGAATACCATAGCAAATGTCTGGCAAAATATAATGTTAACAATTTATAGGAAATTGATGATATAACGCGGGTCATTTTGCTGAATTCACTTCTGAAGTACATTTCATTTTCATCTCCTTTAGACCAATTTCCCATCTACTTTACGTTCAGTATGAAAATAAATTTCCTCCTGGAGTACTTACAGTACAATACTTAAGCATACAACTCAACACATAAAAGACACATCATTAGACTTTATTGAAATCAAGGGAATATAATAATACAAGTGTCGTTTGCATTGATAAAATGTGTTCACATTGAACTTACTCAGCGTTAATCATAGATTTTCTCATTACCACAGGTAGTTGATGAAATCAAGAAAAATACAGACCCTGTTTCAGTAACAAAATGCTCACAAATGAATTTTCATGGTTGGTTTTTGGTGTGTTAAGATATCAACATGAATGCATTCAGTTGTTACAGGGTGGTGCTAAAATTACTATGTATGATATTACCGAAGGGACATAACTGCCAATGAAAAAATTGCACTTCCTCCTCCATTATAGATCACATCAAGTAACAATATTACTTCACCCTCTTTATAAGGGTATGCCTCTTCTTAGAGAGGTTGAACTTCATACATTGTGTAATGAAATCTTTCTTTGTAAGAAAAATGAAGAAATAATTACCAATTCTTAAAACTGAAAAATTCTGGATCTCAATATCCATATATTATATACATAAAATTGCTATACATTTGAACTGTGATGACAATGGCAATACCCCTAAATACAAAGTCATGTCCCCTACCTTAAAATACTAAAGGATTGTACAAAATTTCGAGCTAATTTGAATATTTCTTTTTTTGCTCCAAAACAGAACTAATGCAAGTTTTATGAAGGTTGCTATAGAACAGTGTACTTCTAGGAAACTAGGGGAAACAAGTAACTGTTTAGTACTGATATTGATATCACTGCAAAAAATTTAATACAAGAACATCAAGGAAACTAATAAATGCTCCCCAAAAAGAACTTAAGTGGACACAAAATTGACAAAGGGCAATAACTCTGTAATTAATAGGTTTGCAACACTGCACATCCTCTTAGAACGACATGTATAGACCAAATTTCATAACCCTAGGTAAAATACCAGCAAAGTTATGCTCCAGATATGACAATTTTAACACATGGCAATTAATACGTTAATTGAGAGGTTGCAGGCCCTGAATTTGGTTAACTGCATTGTCTTTGTATGACCAATGTCTACAACAAGTTTTATGATCCGTGCTTGAATGTTGGCAAGGTTATGCTTTGTACACAAAAGGCCAGACAGAAATATAGATGGATAGACAAGCCTGCGACTATATGCTCCTTGAAAATTTTCAGGGAGCATAGTACCAGCCCTGTAGTTTATGATTTAGCATCAAATCAAAATACTCTATAGACAACTAAAGGACTTTTCAAACAATCATACAACAGGTTTAATCACTTTTATTATAATCATTGAGTCTTTTAATCTTAACACAGTCTTCTACACTGCACCGGATAATGATATTTATTAAATAGTCACATAGTGCTGTATCATAGTGATTACTGGAGTTAGAACAGGAAATACATTATAGAATAGAAGTCACTTGTATTTCCTTTCAATTTCCATAAACATTTATCACAAACCAGAGTGTTCTAATAATATAATAGAGATGCAGTACGAAATATGAAGAAATACTGCATCATTATAATCTTGATGTAACAGTGCAAATCATCAAAAAATGTCCACTTGAAGAGCACACCATACAGCATAGTACATAAAGCCTCAGATCACAAATAAATAAAAATCCTCTATTACACTATGATTGTAGTTTAGAATTTCTCCTCAGCATCGAGACACTTAGATTCCTTTAGAGCCAGGAAACGGGTGATGATGTTGTCAATGGTGTGTTCCCCGTGAACGTTATTGTCTCTCGTCCTAACATTAGCTGTTTTGTTGCTCACTTCCTTTTCCCCAACCACTGTAAAGCAAAACATTGGTTATGGTAAATAAACAGAGTGAGCATAGACAAATGTATTACAACCAAGTACAGAAATAGCTCTCAGCATTATCACAACTTTAGCATACTTAACTAGAATGATGTTGTACAGGGCCAGCGAACAGTTGTCAACTTTAACATACTTACATAGAATGATGTTGTACAGAGCCAGCTAACAGTTGTCAACTTTAGCATACTTACCCATAATGATATTGTACGAGGCCAGATGACAGTTGTCAACTTTAGCATACTTAACTAGAATGATGTTATACAGGGCCAGCTGACAGTTGTCACCTATGACAAACTTACCTAGGATGAAGTTGAACTGGGCCAGCTGACTGTTGCGGACTTTCTTATTGAGAGTGGTACTCTCATCAGCATCAACTTCACACATGAAGCCTGCATTGTGGATCTGATTCTTCACCTAGTAACCAAAAACAAATGAAATTATTTGTTATACACCTAAATAATTTCCAGGTGATGTCTAGACTAGCCACCTATTATAAAATAGAACACTTTAGGGATGCAATAGGCATTCATACACTACTTCAATATCGTTTTAAACTAATACAAGAGTATCAGTAGAAGTGATGATTGCTCCTTGAAAACTATTCATTCTTGTCTATGAATTTTGAATTTGGTCATAATAATGACATACAGTTGACAACTTGTTATCTTGAAAATTCAAGGAAAATTTTTGACTGATCCGTATTTCGACTCAAATGAAGTGTATAAATAAGGTTAACGATATCAGGTTCCTGATGTTGATTACAGCTGAAGGAAGTATGGCAGCATGCAAACAGATCAATTCTGATATTTGAAATGGCAGTAAATAAACAAATGAATTTATCCTACTTTCTCCTTTTATTTTTTATCATCCAAGTAACAAAACATGTAATAACAACTCCAATCAAATGCAATTATATACTCAGTCGTTCCGTCCCGCACACACGTACAATACCCTTACTGACCAAGCACATATACATCATATATATTTTACGGAATGACAATAAAATGAAATTGAAATTTGCTTTTGATACTCTACAAGAAACGATGTATGAAGCCACAGATCATATCAATATGACTTTATTATGAATAAATAAACGTGTGAAAAATGTGGCACTAGAAAGGATTTTACCTCTAACAGAAAACATTGTACAAACACTAGACTTAACAAATCGCAAACAGATATAGACTCTATCAATGAAAAATACTTTCAGCACTTCATTGTCCAAACACTAAATCTAAAAAAAGTGCCCCATCACAGTCCTTTAGTTACCAAGCTCAAAATTAATTAGTTTCTTTTGGAATTGTGGGGATAAGACTTCGTCAAAGAGGTCTTACTCGTTTCTTTTTTATTGTTATTGAATATGCATGTAACCAAACAGAATGTTTTCATGTTTTGTGTAAACATGCTATATTTTCATTACACAAGTAAGTCACTGCTACAGGATGGTGACACTAATTAAGAAGCCAACATTTAATTGGATAATTAAACTGGTAATTAATTGCCAGTGACCAAGTGTTGTGTGTAAGATGGATCGATACACCGTAATTAGCCATGTGTTACGCATAGGTGACTTTCTACTCTGTGTATGTATTGACCAATTTCTTCAGAAGATGTGCCAATGTTTTGACAAAAGTTAATTTCAAGACTGTCAATGAGTTTTCCCTTGCTTTAAAATTGAAGAGACTGAAAAACTGCTTTGACTCAACAAAAATTTTGACTCGGTGAAATTCGAGTCATCCGAACTAAAATTACAAAGATATAGAAGGGATTCTATTGTGGTTGATGTAAATCTTTGTGTCTTGAGTGTACAGACTCATGATATATGTAAACAATAAAAATCAATGTATCTTTTTGTCTCAGCAATAATTCACCTAAAATCTCATAGCATCAGAAACGAAATTTTATTTTCATTACTTCTGTATTAGTTGCATTTTTCTAGCTTGTAAACAAACAAGAGATCCCAGAGGGATCTTGGCGCCCACCATTTGAGGATCTGTTTTCAGTTCTTGATGATTTGTTTATTATTTTTTTTGTGTGTTACAGGTGTTGTAAATGTTCATGAACTGGTCTTCATTGAATGTACTCAATGATGGCACAAGATATTTTTATTAAGCACCTATTAGCAAATATCATTTGAAAAAGATCCCAAAGTATTATTAGATAACAGTCAGTTACAGGTGGATAATGGACAATATGCTTGTGCTGTATTACTGTCGACATCCAAGATGGCTGCCTGTGGGCCACCTTGATTTCAAATCAGTCCAAAAAAGGTACAATGCACAACTAGGGACCAAGGGAAACCAATATCTATGAAATATCAGAAGGATCCATCCAGTACTTCCTCAGATATAGCAGTAACAAGATTTTACTCTCAAAATCCAAGATGGCTGCCTGTCGGCCATCTTGAATTCGAATCAGTCCAAAAAAGGTACAATGCACAACTAGGGACTAAGGGGAAACTGCATATGAAATTTGAGGAAGATCCATACAGTACTTTCTCAGAAATAGCAGTAACAAACTTTTACATCCAAAATCCAAGATGGCCACCTGTCGGCCATCTTGAATTTGAATCAGTCCAAGAAAGGTACAATGCACAACTAGGGACTAAGGGGAAACTGCATATGAAATTTGAGAAAGATCCATCCAGTACTTTTCCAGAAATAGCGGTAACAAGAATTGTTTACGGACGGACGACGGACCACAGACACAGGGCGATTTGAATAACCCACCATCTATTTGAATAGATGGTGGGCTAAAAAGATACATATAGGTAAATTTTAACTGTTCATTGATTTAAGAATTACTTTTATAATCAGCAATTAATATTTACACCTCCTACAATCACTATTTCGTCATAACGACACACTTTTTCTGTTAAATATTCAATCCGTAATGTTTGTCAATCATCTTTACAGAACCACACAAATTGTGCAATCCTATTGCACAGTTCTGCACTAGACAGTGTGTTGTGTGTGTGTTCAGACAATGTAAGCATAATGTTCGCATAAAAGTTTTGGTACATTGTGTGTTACCACAACTATATAATTAATGTACACACCAAGTTTCAATGTCCTAGTTTAAATACAAGCCATGTTATACCTCAGACATGAGGTTTAACCCAAGGGAAATAACTCTGTAAACAAGAGGTTGTAGGCCTTCATCATGATCACTACACATTATCTTTGTGTAACTTATGTGTATCCCAAGTTTTGTGATCTTTGCGTAACTGTGGGGAAAAGTTATGCTCTTGACATCAAAAGGACTGACAGACAGATGGACAAAGCTGCAACCATATGGTCCTCAGAAAATATTCAGGGTGTATAAAAACAGGTAGCACAAGGCTATTAGCATCAGTGATGAGTCCTGGAAGGACGAAACAGCTGTATGATACAGTTTAATTCCATGTTTGGCTCTACTGTATCTGACTCTAAATTTGTATTAAAAGGTGTTATTCACTGGTGTGTCTTTTGTACAATTTTAGACAACCAAAGGTAAATAATTTCTTCAACATATTCATACTTGAGTAACAAATACAAATTATGACAGGACAGTTCAGGACTGATCACCGTCATTTTGGGGTTGACTCAATTAATTAAAATCATGATATGATTCATAAACAGGAGCTGTCTTGATAACATGAAGTTGATATCTCAAAGACACACTTTACACATTCAAACGTGATCTCTTAAACACACAGTTCAGCTAATCTGGTTAGAAAAATCACTGTTAGATTTTAATGCATATTGCATAGTGGAGACCTGTATTTCAGTCAGATTTTAAGTTCAGCATTACCTACCTCAGTGGCATAGTTGTTGTAATTCGGAGCAACTGGTATCACAACTGCCTGCCGTGGAGATAGCCAGAATGGCCTAAACAACAATGAAGAACACATTTCAAAATTCTTTATATTAAATTGCCCTAAATTTTCTAGATGAAAGGAAAACAGTAATGGCCCATCTTGTATGGGGTTCATTGAGATCATTCATTTGATATACCATGATACTTGAGGCAAGAGTCCTATCAAAATAATTGGAAGGATTAGAAAATTCAATAACACATCAATAATTCAAACTTCTATTTATCACATAATTCATATCAATTTAAAACAATAGACCTTTTCGGACCTCAATAGCCCATCTAGATATTTCAGCAATTGCATACAAACTTTATTATTCACTATTATATCATTAAGTATTTCCAGAAAGAAGATGTATATTAAGATTTCGTGCTACTCTAATGACCCTGCTCCTCTGATATTTTCATTGTAGAAAAGTCTCCTTGGAAGAATGACATGCTAGACCACAGTTTTACAAGCATTATCATGACATGGGTATATAACACAGGAGAACAGGACATTTAAGACATAAATTGATACTTAAGATGAGATAACTGATTCCTTCATAAATGCCCTGGAATATATTGATTTCCACCCAACATTACAAGACAAATGTTTCGATGGTTGTATTACTTATCATTAACTAAAACCACCACCTTTTACGTGCTACAAACTTACCACTTGCCACTGTAATTCTCACAAAGAATGGCCATCATCCTCTCCATGGATCCTAGGACAGCTCTGTGAATAATTACAGGTCGTTTCTTTTCTGCAGCATCTTCTCCACTGTTTGATAGACAAAAATAAGTAGATATTTTCCCTAATAAGGCAGCATGTCAAACTAAAGCTTCACAAAGTAAAAGACTAAAATCTTATTTTGTTTATTTCCTATCATATGCTTTAATTTTTTCAGAAACACCTGCGAGGTGACTGAATTGCATTAACATTGATGACCTCAATAACACTGATATTTTACAGATTGGTTTTCATCTGCTTGTTTTATTTGCTGTGCCTACCGCTCTCGATACCCAAGATTTATTTATAAATACAAAGGGAAATTAACGTCTATTGATTACTCACGTGACGTAAGAGAGATTGAAACGGAGTGGCAGTTGGAAGTCAAGCTGTATCGTGGCACATTGATGTGAACGTTTCAGGGCATCCATAATTGTAATATCAATCTATAAAACACAGTCAAACATTAATCTGCCATTTCCCTGCCAATCGATTTATAAATCTACACCTAGAAAACATTTAAAAGTTAGTCTGCCTTCTGACATTTGTAATCATTATAAATCTACACATCAAAAACATTTAAAAGTTAGTCTGTCATCTGACATTTGTAATCATTATAAATCTACACATCAAAAACCTTTAAAAGTTAGTCTGTCATCTGACAGCCATCCCCATAAAACTACACCAAGAAAACACTCAAAATTCAGTTTTTGATCCAACAGTCATATCCTCATTACAAATCTAAACCACAAAAGCACATTCAATATCAAAGTTGTATTAATCTCTAAAATTCTTGATCAATACCAACTTTCTGATTTCACAAATACATATGATATTGAATATTATGATATCCCCAACTTTTTATGAAATTTTTTTTTCCTTTTATGGGGTATACATAAATTAAATACAGAAATCTGTTCATTATGAACATATTTGATACCTGGACTGTTCCTTGTGACACTTATTTACTAATTGTCACCAGGTGCCCCTGGAGGGAGCCAGTCCCACTTTTTACCCCTTATTGTTGGTAAACATGGGAGATCAAGTGCTGAATAAAGTCAACTTAACCATCACGGACAGTACCGATTACATAAATAAAACATTTTAAAGGCCCAAACAATTAGAACAAGAAAGAAACTCACTACCAAATTTTTTCTAACAGCCATTACATATCATTTAGGTATGGGTATTTGGATATTCAGAAAGAACCCTGGTTTATGAGATCAAAACACTCTCCTATTCAGGAAGTGTTGTGTTTTTTAATAACAATACCATATCCATTCTCTTTGATAAATCCAGTCTTATGTCTGATGCTCTCGTAGAACAGCATGGTGTCAGGATGTTCACACCAATGTATTTACACCGATGTAATAATTCATTTAGGCAATAACATATTTTTATTTATACCAATACACTTAAAGAGGAACTAGTTAAAAACATCTATCAAATCAATTTAGAGTATTATGTAATCGTATATCAATAGTGAGCTTGGGTAGGTTTTGAAGTGGGCTATGTTTTTGCTGATATTCTCGTGAGGAGTGCATTAGGATCATCCTAGGCTGGGTTGATTTTCTCCCCTGAGTTACCAGTTTGTAGTCCTATTCTTCATTCCTTTCTGTTTCTAAATTGTTTTACCTAGAAGGTCCCTTATGACACTAGTGAGGTTGAGTGTATCCCTAGAGGGATGCAGGGGCTCTACACAAACTCAAACCAGGAGAATATGATATATTGGAAGAACCTTGCCTTAAGATTGTGGCAATGTTCCTGAATGGATACTTATGAATATTCAAGTTATATGATAGCTTTTTTGTGTTTGCAAAAAGAGGAAATTACCTCACAAATCAACTTAGTCTTTCTTGTTTTTATCTTCAGTCTATCATGTATAGCTGACAACTCTTAAGTGTGAAGGGAGGTAATCCAATAAGGCGAACAGAGAACTCTAGAATGATAACCCCAAGAATGCCATGTTCCTGCATATAGTATGTACCCTGTTTTTGACACGACAGTTTTTACCTAAAAAAAGTGTGCACTATACACACAAATTTACGGTAATATTAAAGCATACCTTTGGCCCATAGAAAGCACCATCTTCAGGGTTCAACACCCAGCCTTCTCCAAATTCATCCAAACATTCTGCTAGTTGCTAAAAACAAAGAACACATATTCAAATAAATTAAAGTTACACTATGGTATGAATACGAACCAAATCCTTTCTAGAGTTCAGAAGATATCTTGTACATAAGGTTTTCACGGCTGTACAAACAGACAAATTGATGGATGCAATGGGATAAGAGTAATTACTTCTTTGCTGCATTTCTTTATTAAACTCAAATCTTTACTCTTTAAAATGAAGTTTCCTAAAATCTCCATATTCACTTACCTTCATACTTTTTGAAATCAAACTTTGTCAAAATGATATTTCACCAACAGGAAATGACATAATCTTAATTCAACACGTAGCTAAATTGAAGATCGCTTAGAGGATGTTTTTGCTTTTAGATATACATGTGACAAGTTCATAATCATGATCGACTTTATTGAATGAAGTGAAAAATGCAACTGTATATATGCAGGAAAAAATCACCTTCTCTGCTGCATCCCACACAGCGATATCTCCCAAAAATTTCTGTGGACGAGTGGAAAGGAACAGTTTGAAAGTAAATCCAAACACAGTATACACATGCTTCAGAAAATCAAGGCAGCCAGCCATCTCCTCCTTGATCTGAAAATGAAACAAATTATTAGTTATCTGGGATGTGAGCTAAAATAAACTTATTACACTGCTCTACCTGTGTTTTACTCAAAGTATTCTTTCTATCTGAATCTAATAACTAATTAAACACATTAATATTTTCCCAGAAATTAGGGAGATATTCCTGATTTTTCCTATATTGTGGTAAAATTACACACTTTAAGCTCAGGGAGACATCACCTTTTTTTCTTTGTCCAGAAAACTGGGTAAATAATGATTTTAAGAGTTTTACGAAGGAGCCTTATGGTAATTTACTATATACTGGCACTTTATTCATGCCAACCTATTTCATTTCCTTAATAGCTTAAGAGTAAAGTGGTTTTTGTCTTTACCATTTTACATTACCAAAAGGAAAAATGTGCTAGCCATTCCAGGCTTTGTCATAGATATTTCAATGATAAGTATAAAGTATCAAACTTGATTGCTGATGTACATTGTAAAGCCACCCTGAAGTGTGAGATACTGACCTGGTCTGGAGTACAGAAGATGTGGGCATCGTCTTGTGCGAATCTTCGGACACGGGTCAGACCACTTAGAGCACCTTTGATTTCATTTCTGTGTAGTACACCAAAATCTGCCATTCTCAACGGGAGTTCCTTCCAGGATCGTGGACGCATATCAAACATCAAACTGAAACCAAACACTAATCCTGTCAGGAACATGGACATATATCAAACATCAAACTGAAACCAAACACTAATCCTGTCAGGAACTTAGACGCATATCAAACATCAAACTGAATCCAAACACTAATCCTGTCAGGAACTTAGATGCATATCAAACATCAAACTGAAACCAAACACTAATCCTGTCAGGAACTTAGACGCATATCAAACATCAAACTGAAACCAAACACTAATCCTGTCAGGAACATGGATGCATACCAAACATCAAACTGAAACCAAACACTAATCCTGTCAGGAACTTAGAAGCATACCAAACATCAAACTGAAACCAAACACTAATATCAGGAACATGGAACATCAAACTGAAACCAAACACTAATCCTGGACACATATCAAACTGAAACCAAACACTAATAGACCTGAAACCAAACATATCAAACATATATCAAAACTGAAACCAAACACTAATCCTGTCAGGAACTTGGACACATCAAATGAAACCAAACACATCAAACACTGAAACCAAACACTAATCCTGTCAGGAACATGGCATATCAAAACATGAAACCAAACAAATCCTGTGAAACCAAACACTAATCCTGTCAGGAACATGGACATATCAAACATCAAACTGAAACCAAACACTAATCCTGTCAGGAACATGGACACATATCAAACAAACTGAAACCAAACACTAATCCTGTCAGGAACATGGATGCATACCAAACATTAAACTGAAACCAAACACTAATCCTGTCAGGAACTTAGACGCATACCAAACATCAAACTGAAACCAAACACTAATCCTGTCAGGAACATGGACATATATCAAACATCAAACTGAAACCAAACACATGGACGCATATCAAACATCAAACTGAAACCAAACACTAATCCTGTCAGGAACATGGACACATATCAAACATCAAACTGAAACCAAACACTAATCCTGTCAGGAAACATCAAAACTAATCCTGTCAGGAACATGGACACATATCAAACATCAAACTGAAACCAAACACTAATCCTGTCAGGAACATGGACAAACATATCAAACATCAAACTGAAACCAAAACACTAATCCTGTCAGGAACATGGACAAACATATGAAACCAAACACTAATCCTGTCAGGAACATGGACACATATCAAACATCAAACTGAAACCAAACACTAATCCTGTCAGGAACATGGACACATATCAAACATCAAACTGAAACCAAACACTAATCCTGTCAGGAACATGGACACATATCAAACATCAAACTGAAACCAAACACTGAAACCAACACACTCAGGAACACATACCAAACACTAATCCTGTCAGGAAAATTGACTAATACAAACATCAAACTGAAACCAAACATCCTGTCAGGAACTTAGACGCATATCAAACTGAAACCAAACACTAATCCTGTCAGGAACATGGACATATATCAAACTGAAACCAAACACTAATCCTGTCAGGAACATGGACACATATCAAACTGAAACCAAACACTAATCCTGTCAGGAACATGGACACATATCAAACATCAAACTGAAACCAAACACTAATCCTGTCAGGAACATGGACACATATCAAACATCAAACTGAAACCAAACACTAATCCTGTCAGGAACTTAGACGCATACCAAACATCAAACTGAAACCAAACACTAATCCTGTCAGGAACATGGACACATATCAAACATCAAACTGAAACCAAACACTAATCCTGTCAGGAACATGGACACATATCAAACATCAAACTGAAACCAAACATAATCCTGTCAGGAACAGACGCATACCAAACATCAAACTGAAACCAAACACTAATCCTGTCAGGAACATGGACACATATCAAACACAATCCTGTCAAACACATACAAACATCAAACTGAAACCAAACACTAATCCTGTCAGGAATCAAATGGACACATATCAAACATCAAACTGAAACCAAACACTAATCCTGTCAGGAACATGGACACATATCATATCAAACTGAAACCAAACATATCAGGAACAGGACATATATCAAACATCAAACTGAAACCAAACACATGGACACATATCAAACATCAAACTGAAACCAAACACTAATCCTGTCAGGAACATGGACACATACCAAACATCAAACTGAAACCAAACACTAATCCTGTCAGGAACATGGACACATATCAAACATCAAACTGAAACCAAACACTAATCCTGTCAGGAACATGGACACATACCAAACATCAAACTGAAACCAAACACTAATCCTGTCAGGAACATGGACACATATCAAACATCAAACTGAAACCAAACACTAATCCTGTCAGGAACATGGACACATATCAAACATCAAACTGAAACCAAACACTAATCCTGTCAGGAACATGGACATATATCAAACATCAAACTGAAACCAAACACTAATCCTGTCAGGAACATGGACATATATCAAACATCAAACTGAAACCAAACACTAATCCTGTCAGGAACATGGACACATATCAAACATCAAACTGAAACCAAACACTAATCCTGTCAGGAACATGGACACATATCAAACATCAAACTGAAACCAAACACTAATCCTGTCAGGAACATGGACACATATCAAACATCAAACTGAAACCAAACACTAATCCTGTCAGGAACATGGACACATATCAAACATCAAACTGAAACCAAACACTAATCCTGTCAGGAACATGGACACATATCAAACATCAAACTGAAACCAAACACTAATCCTGTCAGGAACATGGAAACCAAACACTAATCCTGTCAGGAACATGGACACATATCAAACTGAAACCAAACACTAATCCTGTCAGGAACTTAGACGCATAACAAACATCAAACTGAAACCAAACACTAATCCTGTCAGGAACATGGACACATATCAAACATCAAACTGAAACCAAACACTAATCCTGTCAGGAACATGGACACATATCAAACATCAAACTGAAACCAAACACTAATCCTGTCAGGAACAAACTGGACAAACACATATCAAACATCAAACTGAAACCAAACACTAATCCTGTCAGGAACATGGACACATATCAAACATCAAACTGAAACCAAACACTAATCCTGTCAGGAACATGGACACATATCAAACATCAAACTGAAACCAAACACTAATCCTGTCAGGAACATGGACACATATCAAACATTAAACTGAAACCAAACACTAATCCTGTCAGGAACATGGACACATATCAAACATCAAACTGAAACCAAACACTAATCCTGTCAGGAACATGGACACATATCAAACATCAAACTGAAACCAAACACTAATCCTGTCAGGAACATGGACACATAATCCTGTCAGGAACATGGACACATAAACATCAAACTGAAACCAAACACTAATCCTGTCAGGAACATGGACACATATCAAACATCAAACTGAAACCAAACACTAATCCTGTCAGGAACATGGACACATATCAAACATCAAACTGAAACCAAACACTAATCCTGTCAGGAACATGGACACATATCAAACATCAAACTGAAACCAAACACTAATCCTGTCAGGAACTTAGACGCATACCAAACATCAAACTGAAACCAAACACTAATCCTGTCAGGAACATGGACATATATCAAACTGAAACCAAACACTAATCCTGTCAGGAACATGGACACATATCAAACATCAAACTGAAACCAAACACTAATCCTGTCAGGAACATGGACACATATCAAACATCAAAGTGAAACCAAACACTAATCCTGTCAGGAACATGGACACATATCAAACATCAAACTGAAACCAAACACTAATCCTGTCAGGAACATGGACACATATCAAACATCAAACTGAAACCAAACACTAATCCTGTCAGGAACATGGACACATATCAAACATCAAACTGAATCCAAACACTTATCCTGTCAGGAACATGGACACATATCAAACATCAAACTGAAACCAAACACTAATCCTGTCAGGAACTTAGACGCATACCAAACATCAAACTGAAACCAAACACTAATCCTGTCAGGAACATGGACACATATCAAACATCAAACTGAAACCAAACACTAATCCTGTCAGGAACATGGACACATATCAAACATCAAACTGAAACCAAACACTAATCCTGTCAGGAACTTAGACGCATACCAAACATCAAACTGAAACCAAACACTAATCCTGTCAGGAACTTAGACGCATACCAAACATCAAACTGAAACCAAACACTAATCCTGTCAGGAACATGGACACATATCAAACATCAAACTGAAACCAAACACTAATCCTGTCAGGAACATGGACATATATCAAACATCAAACTGAAACCAAACACTAATCCTGTCAGGAACATGGACACATATCAAACATCAAACTGAAACCAAACACTAATCCTGTCAGGAACATGGACATATATCAAACATCAAACTGAAACCAAACACTAATCCTGTCAGGAACTTAGACGCATACCAAACATCAAACTGAAACCAAACACTAATCCTGTCAGGAACTTAGACGCATACCAAACATCAAACTGAAACCAAACACTAATCCTGTCAGGAACATGGACACATATCAAACATCAAAGTGAAACCAAACACTAATCCTGTCAGGAACTTAGATGCATACCAAACATCAAACTGAAACCAAACACTAATCCTGTCAGGAACTTAGACGCATACCAAACATCAAACTGAAACCAAACACTAATCCTGTCAGGAACTTAGACGCATACCAAACATCAAACTGAAACCAAACACTAATCCTGTCAGGAACTTAGATGCATACCAAACATCAAACTGAAACCAAACACTAATCCTGTCAGGAACATGGACACATATCAAACATCAAACAGAAACAAAAATTAATTATAACCCTGCCTGGAATGTGGACTTACATCAAACTGATACCAAACACTAAATATAATCCTGCCAAACATAATTTTCTTCAGATTGGCATGTGTTAATCTATGAAAGAGGAATAATTTATATAATTGTAGTACAACCAATAATATATGTTGTATTTAACTTTTCAATGACTGTGTTCTGTGACCATCCTCAGTCGTAACGACTGTTCTTTTAACACTTTTTCATCGGGACAAGAAAAAAGCACCAATTACCACATATTGCGATATTTTGCAATGAGTAACTTTTGCAAAAATCTCCAAAATGTATTTTTCGTAATTTTTGTGTATTTTTTGTGACTTTTCTAACTGACCTGTCATACTAAGGTAAAAGATTTACATACCGACTAGTGTTTATTTATCATAGAAGTATTCATAACAAGAAAGTGTTCCGTGTATGTAGGTACCTCAACTCTATAGATGTATTACTATGTGTTTACAATATAAAGAAAACATACAAATTTTAACATTTCATTTTTTCTGTTTTTTGAGATTTTGAAAAGGTTGCTTAATTCACAAAAATTAGATATGCACAAAGAATTCCCAATATATATTATGTCAATTGTGTTTTCATATCATTTGAAACACTAAAAGTTCTACATTCACAGAGATTATGATCACAATGCTTGTTTAAGAGTAGACTAGAAGTGATCTCTTGGGCATTCCAATATTAACATTATGATAGGTTATCAATAACATCAAAGTACATCATTTTTCTATTTCACAAACGATGAAAATTTGTTGTTTCAAAATTTCCTTTTAAAAAATCAACATTTGAAGAATGGAGGTTCCACTTAACAAATAAGAATGTGTCTTACCAATGGCCGGGACAGTTCATCGGTTTGAGGGCAAATTTCTCCTTGTCTACTTCACACTGGAACATGTTGTCCTGTTTACAACAGAGAAATGGAATGCCATATATTAACAACTGCATTACATTAGGCCATACAAATGGAATGCCATATATAGACAGTGGGAAATTGTACAAAGCATTAATAACTGCATTATATTAGGCCATACAAATCAGTCAGACAAAACTTTTCACAGCAGCAAAATGAAAAACTCGAGAATACCATATATTCGCTTGAAGAATATATATCCTTTACAGAGAATTTACATAGTATGATATATTCCATGGATGTGATTTTAAAAAAACATGATAAAAGTATGTCATTCCATACATTCAGGTTAAAAAAAATGCAGAAAATGTTATTGGTAATTTCAATAGGTTTAACAAGTTCATGTCCAGTACACCAAGACTACCATATATAGTATGTATAATTTTAGTGACACTCGTATATTACCCTCATGTGGAAAATTAAACTATATCTATTCTCTACTACTGCAGATACAATGGAAATGCTGGTACCTCACATATGACAAGTACAAATTAGATTTTTTGAAATACAACAATATGTGAGACCTACAATTTCCCTGAATAAAGTGATTGATGCTGTCTTTCTATTTTTCAATCATGGTAGATAGAATATTAACAAAATACCTGGTAATGTTGCCAGTGACCAGATTGTTCCCATAGCTTACTGTTGTAGATGTTTGGAGAGATCACTTCCTGGAAACCTCGCTTTTTGTATTCAACCTGAAATTAACGAAATAAACACTGACTGCTAGCAGTTAAATATGAGGGAAATGTTTTTCAGTAACACTCCAAAATCAAGCAGTTCCAGATATGAATATATTGCAGGTTAGAAAGTAAATAAAATTCCTTTGATATAGGTAGGGTGGTTCAAATTAAAATATGTTATTGAAATTCACTGATACAGGGTTTACATGAACTGGATGGTGGACAATAAACGAATCTACCCCACATCAAATTACACATGTACAGTACAGGAAGATGACAGCAATTACATCTCAATATATACAATTAAATCCTTCCACATAATTTTAACTTCATAAAATCTACCACATACCTTCATAAATTCTACCACTCACCTTCATAAAATCTACCACTTACCTTCATAAAATCTACAACTTACCTTCATAAATTCTACCACTCACCTTCATAAAATCTACAACTTACCTTCATAAAATCTACTACTTACCTTCATAAAATCTACAACTTACCTTCATAAAATCTACTACTTACCTTCATAAAATCTACCACTCACCTTCATAAAATCTACCAGAGTGTTGTAGATATGAGCTCCTCTTGGGAGAAAGAAACAGCTCCCAGGAGTTAAATCGTGGAAGAAAAACAATTCTTGTTCCTGCAAAAAAATCACATTGAAATGACAGCAATGTAAATAATTCAATGTTACATTTCAGTCACTTATTTATCACCAAAAAATAAACAAATTACTGCCAATTTCCAACATTTAGTGGTTATTCTATTTTTATTGTTAAGATTTTAAGCAGCACAATGAAAGCTATAACGGAGCTTCAGAACTCCAGGTAAAAAACTATTTTGGTGACCTACCCGTCCAAGTTTACGATGGTCCCTTTTAGCAGCCTCCTCCTGGAAGTGCTTCCACTCCTTGAGCTGTTTAGAGTCAGGGAAGGAGATCCCATAAACTCTCTGAAGATTCTCAGCATCAGCCTTGCCTTCCCAGTATGTGGATGAATTCTAGAATGCATTGGCCATGTTTAATAAATCTGTCATTTCAGACAGTGTCAATAACAGAACCTGTCATATAGTTTTGGTAGCTAACCTTTTTTTATATTGAACATAAATCTAGGCCAGTAAAATTGCCAATGTCTTTCATGTATGGCTAATCTAGTATATGGAGATCAAGTCAAATTTAAAGGGAACTTTATGACGATATACTGTGAAATCTCATATTTTTGTGGGCTGCAATTTTCCTCATTTTTCCAAGAAAAATCACTATTTCATTGACACTTGATTTTGTAGGTAAGTTTAGCTTTATAAATGTACTTATACTGATAATCACAGTTTGTGAACATATAAATTTGTGGATTGTGAATACCCATGAAATTAAGGAAACAAAATCCGCCACAAAAAACAATGATTATACGGGTTGAGAGGGGACACAAATTACTTTCATGACCCAAACATCATTTTAGGTGATATATATTGTGATATGAAATTTAGCATCTTTACCTTAGTCACAGCCATAGCCTTAATTTTGCCAGTGTGTCGGACATGGGGACCTCGACACAAGTCAATCAGAGGACCACACCTATAAACAAATTACAATTTGGATTTGATATCATCAAAAGTAGCGTACGCATTTCATCATCAAACCTAGTGCACCTAACAGTCATTCTGCACAGTAAATATAAATTAATTTTCTATGAATCATTTATCATCTTTCATTGTTTTGTGAATGTGAAAATGACCTCTTACATAATTTTTATGAAGATATTATTCTAAAATCTTGTTATTTTACACTGCTTTTGTTATCATTAATGGTAATTTACTTACTTGTAGACAGTGGTAGTGGGGGTGGTCACTCTCTCATTCAAGATCCTTTGCTTAAATTTGTTGTACTATAAATGCAAAACAGAATTTATAGACATAAAAGTGACTTCTGGGAGAAGAGATGTACATCAGTCATTAAACCTGAATGTGACATATCTATCAGGTCACAATATCTAATGTATTCACCCCTGAACAGGATAGCATTATTACTTCTTACTCCAAGTCAGAGGGTGGGCTTATTACAAGACAATAAAATAACACGGGCTTATAATTTTACTGAACAATGATATATAAGCGTAGGCTTATTACCAGACATGAGCTTACAGTCATATGAATACAATTATAAAGACAAAATATAGATATCTAGTCAATGATGGCTCCTTGTCTCTGCTTTAAAATATGAGAATAATAATATTTTGTTAACCTCTATATCACATGTATATTTATACAAACCGTTGATCTAAGGATATTTTAACAGCTGTATTTTTTAAACCATATTTAAAAACAAAATTTAATTGTTTTTATAAAAAAACACTTACAGCAAACATCTTAAGTAGGTTTTCCTTGGTCATCACAAGACGTTCAAAGGGCTGCTTTTCTTTGACAATGCTTTTTACCATCGTTTCCATTGCAGGGTAGTCCTCAGTGGATACATTCCTGTCAATACACCATATGAATTACTATAAGTTACAAAACTATCAAACATTGACATTGTCAGTAATTAAAAGACCAGTTCATTTTTAACAAAGTTTAAAAATCAAAGATATCAACATCTATCCAGAACCTTTAACAGATGACGAAATACATTTGAGACATCAGTGTTGATGATCATCTTCAGGTGGAAAATATGTTCTCATTCCTACAACTGTTATCTCCAGGAGCCAGTGCCGTCAACCTTGACAGATATGTGTTTATATGCTCCTTAATATATTCTTTTTACTACCACATTTTGTCTGTAAGGATCAACTTTTTACTACCACATTTTGTCTGTAAGGATCAACTTTTTACTACCACATTTTGTCTGTAAGGATCAACTTTTTACTACCACATTTTGTCTGTAAGGATCAACTTTTTAACCACATTATGATTTATCATTATTATAATTTAGATTACTGTATTCGTAAAATAAAACCTACTTGTAATGCAATTAATTATTTCGTTATGACATTTCCAGTCTAAGTTGATTTTGTATCTTACAATAGGGTTAATTTCAGCTGTGTTTACCTGGAAACACTCTTGTGTATTTTTCTTAGATTGTAACAAAAACACATACTTAGTCTGCAACACTATTCTAACAATCTTATTCTAAGATAAGCTCAGTTAGGGAACATGCCCAAAACCATAAGTTTATATGATGTGTGAAGTGTCAAGTATCACTACCGTGGCCACAATTATTCAGAGTTGTTAAACATGTACCTGCCATCTGACCACATGTCATAATAGAACCCTCCTTCTATTGGGGGTCCATAACACAGGTGTCCCCCGTAAAGCCTCTCCATCGCTTCACCCAAGATATGAGCACTAGAGTGGCGGAAAACATATTCACCTTAAAAAAAGATAAAATTAATCATTTCAGTAAAATGGATATTTTCATAATCTGTTACAACTTACACAATTTATTTATTTACCATTAACTTGTTTACAATCATTTGGTACAAGATAGCTTGATGTATGCATAGTTGTGATAAAAAAATGCCTTTTCTTCATCTAGACATTGTCTTTTGAAAATCGTCTCCCTTGAAACATGTTTCAGTATATTACATATGTGACATAACTTATGAATCACCTTCTTTGTCATCAAATTTGAGTAGCTGTAGAGAAGCATCACACTCAAATGGTCTGTCCAGGTCCCATTCTACATTATTCACTTTGGCTACCACACAGTTATCAGCCAAGCCTTGACTACAGCACAAATAGAAAATTATTTAATATATCTTGTACTAAAACAAGCACTGACCATAGAAGGAATCATTATCATTATAAGTTTACTATCAGTCATCCAATTTGTTGTCAACTTTGAACTTAGGAATTGCATTCATAAGACAATACAAGTGATTCCAAGTAGAATGATCAATAACTCTATGGAAATTAAAATAAAAGCCCTGCTATAACAATATGTCAATCCTTGGGTTACAGGCTGTATGTTTAACAAACTTCTGATGTAGATAATACAGGATATATATACAAACAGACAAACACATACCTGATGCCCTTCGCGACCTCATATGGAGTGGTACGCCAGGACTGGCCATCCACCACTTTCCCATCAGGCAAGGTTATTTTGATTGGCGAGGAAGGTTTAGCAGCTAATTCTTCATCAGCCTCCTTCTTTAACTGGTCCCACAAAAGCTGACGCTCTGCCAGGAATTCTGGAGGAGGCATCATCTTCAACAGAAAGGGAGAAAAAAGATTGATATTGTATGAAGCAAACATGACACAGAAATTATCCTAAGTAATATTAGACAGGTTATGCAATTACAACACTATACCCAAGTTGCCCTGGGCATCGTGAACGGAATGGTTTTCTTATGCACACATGAGATAAACATTATGAATCACATCAATGATAACACAATGCAGAAAAATGGTTCAGACCTAACTTATTTTGATATGATCAAATTTTAGTGTGTAATTATCTTCTGACATAGCAGGACAGTGATAAATTTGCACAATACTTCCAGTGAGAAAAGCATTACAATAGGTTAGTTTACAGTGGCTCAGATGTGACTTGTAACTGTATAAGTTTACAGTGGCTCAGATGTGACTTGTAACTGTATAAGTTTACAGTGGCTCAGATGTGACTTGTAACTGTATAAGTTTACAGTGGCTCAGATGTGACTTGTAACTGTATAAGTTTACAGTGGCTCAGATGTGACTTGTAACTGTATAAGTTTACAGTGGCTCAGATGTGACTTGTAACTGTATAAGTTTACAGTGGCTCAGATGTGACTTGTAACTGTATAAGTTTACAGTGGCTCAGATGTGACTTGCAACTGTATAAGTTTACAGTGGCTCAGATGTGACTTGCAACTGTATAAGTTTACAGTGGCTCAGATGTGACTTGCAACTGTATAAGTTTACAGTGGCTCAGATGTGACTTGTAACTGTATAAGTTTACAGTGGCTCAGATGTGACTTGTAACTGTATAAGTTTACAGTGGCTCAGATGTGACTTGCAACTGTATAAGTTTACAGTGGCTCAGATGTGACTTGTAACTGTATAAGTTTACAGTGGCTCAGATGTGACTTGTAACTGTATAAGTTTACAGTGGCTCAGATGTGACTTGGTAACTGTATAAGTTTACAGTGGCTCAGATGTGACTTGTAACTGTATAAGTTTACAGTGGCTCAGATGTGACTTGTAACTGTATAAGTAGATTTCTGTTTTCAGTACTTGCTTCTAGATCTATATGGGATGCATGCATGGTGAATATCACATGGAAGTGAAGAAAACTTTGAACTTCGCTTTAATCATCCCCCACTTTCACCATACTAAATACATTATATATACCCTATAAACTCCCTGCTATAATTTAAATTCCTCGTACATTAAAATCCAATATTTCGTCATGTCGATAGCGTGCCAGGTGAGATGATGCAATAAGGGCATTTCTCTGGGCGGTATGATGATGATGAAATACCTTATCGTGGATGTTAGACTCATTGAATAAATAAATAATGATGAAACTTTCTTATACCAAGTATGTATGTATGTGTGTGTGTTGGTGTGCAATGGATATCGCAAATGAAAAATGATCTAGAAGGATTACGACTGCCGTAAACCGTCCCCTCAATTGACAATGTTATGAATTTTGTACACAATGTATTTACAACGTATAGAAAATATACAATAACGGCGAAATGCTAAATGTAACGTCTTCTAATTGTTGCTAATAATATATGGAAATCAAAGTTCGATTCGCCTTCTGAATGCCAAGGTATTCTGAAAAACAGATTTTTTGACGAATGCATACGCCACGTGGCAAGTGGTGAAGGAGACAGAGACTGAACTAGATAGCAGGACACATGGACTGACGACCACAACACAAAACTTTAGTTCCCTCTTGTGAGGGACTAATTATATTATTAAATATTTTACTTATCAAACTGTTGTTATTAGAGTTCTCTACTCTATCCAGTATTTATGAATATGTATCGGGAGTAGGGACACACCTATCAAACTTAACGTTTGATATTAAACACAAGATTACCAAGAAACAGAAGAGCATAAGGTGATTCCAGGTAGTAACTGTTTAGCCCTACACCAAAGCATTAGCTGTAGTATAAAAATAAATCTATTCAAATTCCAAAACAATGACTGTTCATGATCACTGTATCTAAAGTGAAAGTACCAGTAAATGATGACAAAGCATTCTAAAGGATGTATCTATCCAGGTAGAATATTTATTTCATCAACAGTCTATGACAACTAGTATATCAGGCCTTCTTTTGTCTCAGATAAATATTTTGTGCAAGTTTTCTTTTTTTTTTTTTTCATTTCAATAGGACTCTATCCTTCTCTAAATGTACCAGTTTACACCAGGAATTACATGTAGTGTAAATAAAGTTCTACAAGAATTATGATCATGTGCACATCGACTATTCAGTTAAAAATTGTGCACCATCCAAAGTGAAATCAGGTACCAATCAAGTGCAAACAACAAGTGCAAAGTTTTCTAAAGACTAAATTCAGGCAAACTGATTATTCTATCAGCAGTATATCAAATAGAACATTCTGATATAAAATCTCTTATATAAATTTCTATCATAACATTTCCAGTCAGGTTTGATTCTCAAATCTCAACATTGAACTTATAAACAAATAAAACTGTTTACATCAAAACATTATCTATAGTCTGAAATTAGATATTTCAAGTTCAAAAGGAGTGACTTTTCACTCAGATTGTGTGCAGCAAACGAGAATGTACAAGCACATTGTAGAAACTAGTGCTGACAAAGCTTTCTAAACATTAAAATAAATTCAAAATATTCACCAGTAGTATAAGTACATTAAGACTACAAAACTCTCAAGTCAACTCCTGCAATCAATTTTCAATTCAACTTGAATTCTTCAATATGTGTTTTGAACTTTTAAAAGTAATATTTTAATAAGCTAAAGCAGCCATGTATTTCATTAGAATATTTCAGACAAAAAAGAAGCCAAAGGCCATGAATACTAAAATGAAGCTGGTCAGATGTAATTTTGGATTGAAATCTAATAGTTTGGATGAATATATGTCATTAGCTATTTTAACTGTACTACATTTACATAACTGTGATTCCCAAGGTCGATAGACGCTCTGACAACTAAAATGAAAGCTTTCAAGTACTCCTTGATTGCGTGATGTCAAAATCAGCAAATCAGCTGATTGTTTTGATCTACTATCGAAACATTTGGCACCCATCAAGCGTTGATAATTTCAAGATTATTTGTAGTTTTGGAGATTGAAAATGCTATTGAAAATGTGCTGACAGATGACATGAGATTGATCTAACACACAAGCACTATGCCTAGGCGTGTGTATACATAATTAAACAAGCATACAAAATTATTTCAATTCCATTCCAGTGCCTTATATTTCTTACAGGTCCACTCCTGACTTAAAATATGATCATTTAGTCATCATAACATTCATGTTTATTCACTATTACTGTCCTTAATCAATTTATCAATAACAAAACATTAGCAATTGAAAGTGGCTCAAATACATCAGATAATATTTATCTACTTTACCTCTTTCAGCTTGTCTCCAGACCCATTTCCTGCTGCTGCAGCCTTTTTATTCTTTTTCGCCCCCTGGTTAAAAACAAAAACCTCATTTATAAAATTCATCTCATTTTTAAAGGAAAAAGCAAAACAAAAGCTAAACAACTAGGTAACTTCATTATAGAAAATGTACTTGGAACAAGCAATATGTTTCAAACTTAATTCCTGAAGATTTACTGCACAGCAAGCAAGGATTAACCAAAAAAATCATCAACATATATACCTCATCATCCTCGTCTGAGCTAAAACAAATGTCTGGTTCTTGGATAGAATGCTCCATTTTGAATCAATGATCTAGCACATATATGTATATATCATGTATGAGTTCTCGTTACAACTCCACTGATTTTTATACAGTAGCTGTTTAAATATGATGAGCTGTTCCTAAGTAAGTACCTACAAACTAGTGGTTGACGACTTGGTATATAATAACTATGTATCATTCACGAGTTGTGCCTCAAAATATATACAAACTACAAGAAATAAATGAGTTGGCTCCAAAAATAGATTTCCATGAACACACACGGGTTTTTTAATTGTAATGACAATGGTTTGCCCGTGTTCTATTTATACATACAGGTCTGCATGACTATAAATATATGAACGATCGAGATGATGAAATCCATGTCAGTGGGTGTAAATGACGGAAAATTAGAATGACATAGTATGTACCGAACTGAATCGTTGGGTGAATATTCACACTAACAAAATACAATCATTTCATAGAATATGAACATAAATGATGTTTGTTTACACAACGCCATTAAATATTTCAACGATATTGCAGTATATATTCAATATTGATTTCAGTCACTCAAGCGATAACCACAAACCCTGGATGCATATGTAGAGAAAGTGTAGCATATCCTCTTGGAAACCCGTGTTAAAACAAACTTCGAAAACATGATGGCTGAAAGGAACGAGTGAATAACTACTGAATCCGTGCCTTATTGGATTTTTCTGATATGTCCATTTTTCCAAACTTGTTTTCCACGTTTGCGGCCATGCTGTTCCCCTTGTCACGCATGAACGGAAGTGACAAATGTAAACTAATTCAGGAGTAAAAATACTCCGGATTTTCAGCATGTTATAGTACGACAATAGACATTTACCTACGACGTATCATTGTGTTTGATAATAACTTAGTTATTAAAAAAACATGAATCAATATGCATGCATCGGGATTTGGATGCACATCTAAGTTAGTGCAGTAACCCCTGGAGTATCGGACACCTGATCGAGTTGCCTTTGTCCATCGCTATAAACCTGAAAGAACATAAAAACCGAATCATCAATACATTGTTACCCCCACATTAGCTAATGTATTATAAACGATATGGGGTGGGGGTAGTATAAACCACGAGCGCACTGTATGGCTGCAAAAGCTCAAATGACGCTACAAGCTATACACCCTGTATTGGTCCGCCGTGTACGTCCAATTCCCCGCCCAAAACTATACTCAATTGTATTCTAGCACCCAAATAACCCCAGTGATACCGTACCATTGATAAATATAATTTATATAAGAGATTTGATGTCAGAATGTTCTATTTGATACACTGCTGACAAATTAAACAGTTTGCCTGAATTTATTCTTTAGAAAACTTTGCACTTGTTGTTTGCACTTGATTGGTACCTGATTTCACTTTGGATGGTGCACAATTTTTAACTGAATAGTCGATATGCATGTGATCATAATTCTTGTAGAACTTTATTTACACTACAGATAATTCCTGGTGTAAACTGGTACATTTAGAGAAGGATAGAGTCCTATTGAAATGAAAAAAAAAAAGAAAACTTGCACAAAATATTTATCTGAGACAAAAGAAGGCCTGATATACTAGTTGTCATAGACTGTTGATGAAATAAATATTCTACCTGGATAGATACAACCTTTAGAAAGCTTTGTCGGCATTTACTGGTACTTTCACTTTAGATACAGTGATCATGAACAGTCATTGTTTTGGAATTTGAATAGATTTATTTTTATACTACAGCTAATGCTTTGGTGTAGAGCTAAACGGTTACTACCTGGAATCACCTTATGCTCTTCTGTTTCTTGGTAATCTTGTGTTTAATATCAAACGTTAAGTTTGATAGGTGTGTCCTTACTCCCGATACATATTCATAAATACTGGATAGAGTAGAGAACTCTAATAACAACAGTTTGATAAGTAGAATATTTAATAATATAATTAGTCCCTCACAAGAGGGAACTAAAGTTTTGTGTTGTGGTCGTCAGTCCATCCTTCCATGTGTCCTGCTATCTAGTTCAGTCTCTGTCTCCTTCACCACTTGCCACGTGGCGTATGCATTCGTCAAAAAACCTGTTTTTCAGAATACCTTGGCATTCAGAAGGCGAATCGAACTTTGATTTCCATATATTATTAGCAACAATTAGAAGACGTTACATTTAGCATTTCGCCGTTATTGTATATTTTCTATACGTTGTAAATACATTGTGTACAAAATTCATAACATTGTCAATTGAGGGGACGGTTTACGGTAGTCGTAATCCTCTTAGATAATTTTTCATTTGCGATATCCATTGCACACCAACACACATACATACATACTTGGTATAAGAAAGTTTCATCATTATTTATTTATTCAATGAGTCTAACATCCACGATAAGGTATTTCATCATCATCATACCGCCCAGAGACATATATAACGTCTCTGTACCGTCCAACACCCTTATTGCATCATCTCACCTGGCACTCTATCGACATGACGAAATATCGGACTTCAATGTACGAGGAAGATAAAAAGAGAGTCCCATATTTCAAACTCTATTCAATGATAAACGTTTTAAAGGAATTCTAACTCACTGTCTAACGTCCCCTATTTATTTATTTATTAACGGGGTTTACGTCCACTATTGCGACCTTTCGGTCTTTCAGGGGAAGAGAAGAGATAGGAGAAAGAGTAGGAGGGAGAAAGTAGGATTGATGGGAGAGAGTGGGATATAGAGATGAGGTAGAGAGGGGCCGTCTATTCTACTTGACCTGATCTAAAACTATAATTAAGAAGGCGATACCCGTTCCTAATTGTATACCTAGCCTAACATTCAGCACGACACAGCAAGAAGACCGAAGGACTGACAGGGAGAAGGAAGAGTTTCTACACTCGGTAAATTCCGATATGTTAAAAGTATTTCGGAGGTCCGTCAAAATTACTTGATAAATATTCCCTAATGCTAACCTAACATTTTGTTTTGTCCATGCAGGTGTTATTCTTTTTTTCATTTCAATCTGTCACTCTATATACCGTTCCCTTGTTCAATGTCTATACTTTCTGCAATCCATAGTGTTCCTTCCGTCATGTAGCTGTTAACTTTCCGACGTTTTTATGGTCTTATTTTGTGATTGTGAGGTAAGTGTTGGGAGAAGTTAGAGGTGTTAGTAGGAGTTTACCAAGTGGTTAATGAAGTAGACTTTTTACGATATAGTTTGTTGACCGATTGAGTGTTATGGGGTATTTTTTTTTAATCCTGTTTCAGAGGGTAGGGATGATCGGAAAGGAAGACTACTGAGGGAGGTAGGAAAGAAGGCCAGTAGGTATTGTGCGGACTAAAGACATGGTCTAGGGGTCTAAACTATATGCTATTATGTACTACCCGCGATACTATTTATATAGGATGTGTGATGGAATGAGTATGTAGAGGTGGTAGGGTGGGTGGGTGGTGGTGGGGGATTTGTGTTTATTTGGTTTGTATGTTGTGTTGTGTTGTATTGCATGTGTTGAGTTTTTAGTTGTGTGAGAGTTTTCAAAAAGTTTTAGACCATGTAGCCAGTGTTGGATAAACATTTCTGTATAATAATTAACGAGAACTGTTTATCTCATTGCCCTACATAGCAAGATTCCATATGCTATAAGCCAGTGCAAGACCTGAATCCGACTGGAGAAGAGTCAATGGCCGTGTTACCCGGAGGTTCCCTTTATGTATAATGTATATTGGATGCAGGGTCTTAAATGCGGAATTCGTTTGTACATTTTTCCTACCGTGTGCGGTCGTTTGTTTGAACTAATACTTGACGGTGTGTGTTTACCTGTATATTGTGTTTGATTATTTGCGCAGGGTTCTGATGACCAGAAGAGGAGATCTTCTGTGTCCCTTACAGCGCTCTCGGTATAAGCCTGAGTCTCCAGTTTAAAATTTTTTGTAGTGTGTCACTGCGGTGGAGACAGGAAGATCTCAAAGAGGTGTCGATAGTTATGGGGTCAAGTGAGAATGATGAAAGTCCCCTCATTCAGTCCCTTTGGGACATGTATTAGAGCCGGGCTCTCTAAATAGGGACAAGTCGTACGTATATCCCTGAAAATACGTGCCAGGTAAATTGTCTATTGCATCATCACGCCCATATGTGTTATCACGAAGCAATGTACAACTGTGTTTATAAAGCACATTTTTATAGGATAAGAAGGTCGTATTAAGATATTTCGTCATGTAAATAATTCAAAAATTTCCGCGTTTCGGAGAATAGCGGAAATTTGCTATCCTATAGTTTCGGTCACGTACATATGTACGCAAGGCGTGCAAGGCAGTGTGTAGTATCTGACCAATCAGGAGACTGATTGGCGTGCCACGTGGAGTACTAGGGTACCGACGCGCACGTGAGGGGTATATCGGGTATTCATTCTAGCCGCGGACTTCCAAAGCGTTGACTGCTATAGTTTCAGGGTTCGGGTGAAAACGTATACAATGCACTTATATATAGTATAGAATATATAATTTACATATTTTCGCTTTTCAGTAAAGGTATTGAAGAAATATAAAGTGTGAAAGTATCTAACGACCGGTAGAAATACCATTGTAGACCATTAAAATGCAGGTGCTTAAAATGAATGAACAATTGAAATCCCAGCATTATTTCGGGAGCCTGAAGCAGTTTGGGCTGGTGCACCTCCTCTCATCCCGTATAACGGTTTCGAGGTTGGTTCTCCTAAGGCTTGTTATACAATGGTATAATTAAGGTAGCGAGAGGCTAGTGAGTGAGTAAGGGAATGTATATATATATAATTTAAAAAAAAAAAAGAGAGAGAATATGACATTAAATGCCGGCTCTATTGTCCGCTCGGCTCACATGCATATGGTGGTTGTGTTTTTATGGGAGTAAGGTAGCATAGTAGTATATAAAGGATACAAATTGTCACGGATATAAGTTACAAGTAATACGAGATGTCTTATAATTCAGTCGAATGGATGACTACTTGGCTTGCCTTAGCAAAGTGTTTAAACTATACGATGGTTCTCAAGTCCTCTTAAAGAAGTGAATAAAATCAGCTGTGAGAACATTTCAATGTTCTTGCTTTAATATGAGTGGAAAATATAATAACAATAACGTATAATTACATAAACGGGTAAATTCAAGATAGCAACTCGAAATTTTGAGATATTAACCCAAAATTTCGAGATAGCAACGCGAAATTTTGAGATAGCAACTCGAAATTTCGAGTTAGTAATCCGAAATTTTGAGTTAGTAAGTCGAACCCGAAATTTCGAGATAACAACTCAAAATTTCGCGTTGCTATCTCGAAATTTTGGGTTAATATCTCAAAATTTCGAGTTGCTATCTTGAATTTTCGAGATAAAATAAAACACAACGTGACCGGAATACACTTCCGTAGGTACGTGTCCTACACATAAATTTTGATAGAAACAGTAATACAGAGGTCAAACATTTGAAATCTATCAATAAGTTAGAGTTACTTCCCTTCGGGTATCTTCGCGACATCAAAAAGCGAAATAAAAAGAGAAAAACACGCCAAAAACAAAAGACGACAAAATCAGCGCAAAATACGTCATTCAAATGTTACCGTACTACGTGTTTCAGTTTTGCATCAATATTTAATTTTGGCGGACCTCGTCTTTGTCTTTCTTAGCCAATGCCAGATTTTTTGTTACTTTGCCGTTTTTCGCTTGATAACCGCCATA